GGGCGACCGGGTTGAGGGATGGGCAGGGGAAGTCAGGACCTAATTGTGTGTGTGTGTCTTTGGGAACTGTCAGGGTATGAGGATGACGCCGCCTTTGGCCACTCACCTAGATGGTGGACCAGATGATGTTTAAGAGAAAATCTTGCCTGGCCCAAGAGGGTCCACACTTCACTCCCGGCTAATGGCGTCTCGCAGGGATAAAGCGTGATGCAGCGCCACACCCGGGAGCCAGAACTCAGAAGGGTAGGGTGGGAGGATTAAAAGTTAGACTGGACTTCATAGTGAGACCCCGTCCCAAATACCCAAACTGAAACCAAACCAAGGACCCAACAACCAAACACAATGCAGCTCATCTGTGGCCGACGGCTCAGGCGGCTAAGGGCGCTTGCGGCCGAGCCTGAGTACCTGAGCTGAATCCCTGGGCCCCACAGGGTGGAAGGAGAAAACAGACTCCCACAGGTGGTCCTCTGACCACCAGGGCACGTGCATGGCCCACACATGTGCAGGCACACGCACACTCTAAACAAATAATAAGCAAATGACATACTAAAAGCCAGAAAAACCACAGACATGTTTCTCATGATTCTGCATACTCAGCGGATTCAGTGCCCAGTGCCAGCCTGGGCTCTGCCTCTTAAGACACAACCCTGAAGCTGTTGGGGCGGTGGTGGTGCACACCTTTAGTCCCAGCATTCGGGAGGCAGAGGCATGCGGATCTCTGTGAGTTCGAGACCAGCCTGTTAGGCTACACAGAGAAACCCTGTCTCGAAAAACCAATCCCTCCCTCCAAAAAACAGAATGTATTCTGGCTAGTAAGCCCATATCAGAGACATGATTTACAAATATTTTCTTCAATTCTGCAAATTATATATATATATATGGTTGTTGTTGACAGAGGCAAATTATGGTGCCCCAGGCTGACCCTCAGTTATATAGGCTAAGTCAGTCTTGCCATCACGATACTGTGGAACCCTGGGATTGTAGGCATGGATATCCTGTCTGGGTTTTTGCCTCTCTCGCTGGCCTGAAAATTAAGGCAGGCCTCCTTCTTCGTCCTTGGAGTGACATGAGCCGCCACCCCCAGCTTGAAGACGACTCCTCACCCACTGACTCGTCTTGTCATGTGGGAGTCGCAGCCTCTTACCCTGCGCGCCTGCTCTGGTCCACTGCTGTGACTCTGGTCCTTATCCCAGCACCGTGTGTTGGCTGCCGTAACGGTGTGGTAAATTTTGAATTGATACTAAATCTTTCTAATTCTGCCATTTTGTTCTGGCTGTTTGGGGCCCTTTATAGTTCTGCAATGTAAGATTTTCTATTTTTTAAAAATTTTAAAAAGGAGCTAGGCGGTGGTGGCGCACGCCTTTAATCCCAGCACTCAGGAGGCAGAGGCAGGCAGGTCTTTAAGAGTTCGAGACCAGCCTGGTCTACAGAGCGAGCTCCAGGATGGCCAGGGACACAAAGAGAAACCCTGCCTTGGAATTATTTTTAATTATGTGTGTCAGTGTGTACGCACATGAGGGGGAGTGCCCGGAGAAGCTAGGGCTCCCCCTGGAGCTTGTTTCAGGTGGGGTTAGCCTTTTGAAATGCTATTTGGATTGAAGAGCAAGAGTGAAATTCTTAATGGTGTACCCTCTCCAGCCCTGGGGTGGGTTTTCATGGAAAACTTGTGGGTATGCGTGTGCACATCCGTGTGAGCGGGGGTGTGGGTGTGTGACAGCAGAAGTGGGGGTGTGATAGAAATCAGAAGACACCGCTTTAATCCCAGCACTCGGGAGGCAGAGGCAGGCGGATCTCTGTGAGTTTGAGACCAGCCTGGTCTACAGAGTGAGTTGCAGGGCAGTCTCCAAAACAATACAGAGAAACCCTGTCTCAAAACAAACAAACAAAAGAAGTCAGTGTCTCTTGCTTGCTACTCACGGGCCCACGAGCTCCTGAGGTTTTCCGGTCTCCACCCTCCACCTCACCATAGGAATTCTGGGATTGCTGATGAGTGCTGTAGGTGCTCTAACCCACTGAGCTGCCTCCCCGGCCAGTATTAAATCTTGTGATCCATGGACGTGTGAGATCTTCCCATCTCTTCAAGCCCTCAGGCTTCCTGAATGTTTTGTAGTTTTGTGCAAGTCTCCAAACTCCTTTTTATTTCTAGAAGTCTTTCTGCATGCCGCTATGAGCGAACTTGGCTTCTTAATCTCCTTTCCAAGCTGCTCTTTGTTGGTGTGTCATTCTTCCCCTCGCAGTTTACTTTTATTAAATTGCAGAACAAATAAAAATAAGCCCCCATGTGGGTTCCAGACGCTGGCTGGTTACTTTCTCTGTGAAGCCAGAGCGGGGAGATGTCATTCTCGTCTTCTTTGACAGGCTACAGGGTGGGACCTGCAGAAGGCTGGCTCGTAGAAAAGCACCGTTGGGCCGTTTGCCAGTGGGAAGCTGGGCTCAGAGCCCAGAGGGCCAGCCCAGCCCATAGACCTCTTCTCCCTTGGCAGGTTCACGCCACTGCATAGGGCAAGCCCTGGGCTTCCCGTCCTGTATGCAGCCACTTAGATCCTTCCCCGTAGTGTATGTAAGCTCTCTGGGACACCTGGTCTTCCATGAGAAAGAGGCTGATGGCCTGCAGCCTGCACTCACACTGCCTGGCTCTTACACCACACAGTGGGCTTTTTTTTTCCTTCTGAGACAGGGTTTCTCTGTGTAGACCTGGGCTGTCCTGAAGCTCGCTCTGTAGACCAGGGTGGTCTCGGTGCCTTCCAAATGCTGGGATTAAAGGTGTGCGCCACCACCGCCAGGCACATAGTGGACTTTTGAGAGTGGTGGCTGGGTTGGGCTTAAGTCTGTCTTCGTCTCATCCCCACTGAGATACAGCCCGGTGCTGCCACTTCCTGAGGTTGGGCGGCTGCCCCCGTGTGGATGAGGCCCTAGCTGAAGCTCGCAATACCTCCTTACCTACGTGTACTGTAAAGTCTGCAAAGGATTGGGGGACAGCCGGCAGGCAGAAGGGGCTGACTCTGGGGGGCAAGTCCCAACCCCCAGAGAAAGGCAGGGACATGGTGGCTCCCTGAGCCTAACCTCTCTCTGCCCCTGCCCCCACCAGGAGTTAAAACCCTCAGTGCTACACAGGAAGCCCTAGCTCTTTAGGTCAGAGGCCATAGATCTTGTCTCCATGAGCATGCCTCCAGGGATGAAACCATTGGGCAAAGGTTTCTCCACACTCCCTCTGGAGTTGGAGACATCCAGCACGCTATAGGAGGACCGTAAAGCGGGGAGATGCTTTTCCCTCCCTGAGGATTTGCCTGTTTTGCTTGTTGGGGTGTGGGCGGCCTCCCTGGCTGCATATGAGGGGCACTTGGCTGCCACCAATGCAGAACCCCAGGTGATGCTGAAGTCTTGGGCCTAGCGGGTACACGTGGCATGGCAGTATTGAGGGGCTGTCATGGTGCCTCCAGAGACTTCTGGGGGACAGGCTCCTGGAACTCTAGTGGAGCCTGCCTTGGTCCATTCCAAGTTTGCTATAACCCTGCTATTGGAGGAGAGGAGTGGGCAGGGACAGAAAGCTGACCTTCTTGTCATCCTTGGATGGCCTATTTTCACAGGCCATGGGTACCATGGACAATGGGAAGGGGGGGGCAGAGCATGTAGGACCCCTGGACATGGGTGACATGTGAACACATTCCTGAGACCAAAGAGGCCACGGCTCTTGGCCAGCTCACCACGGTTGTGGCAGTGTCGTGGTGTACAGGGCAGTGTGCGGTCTAGTCTCAGGTCCATGTCACACACGTGGTGGCCAGTAGAGTGGGCCCAGGAGTAGTTGAGGCAGGGGCCCAGGCAGCACTGAGATCATGGGTAGGGCCGCTTCTCAAAGATGGAGGGGACAGGGCAGGTTGGGGCATACAGGTCTGGGCACAGGTGGCACCAGAGCAGTGGTGTCTGGGTTGGAGAGGGAGGCTGTGGCTAGAAGGCTCTTCTCTCTCCTGGTCACGGAAGCGCAGACCTGGTTCTAGCTGGTGCCATGTGGTTTTGGAAGCCCACAGGGCTGAGCGCTTCAAGGCCAGGACACTGGTTGGAAGCGTTGGCAGCATTGGTGAGCCAGGCCGCTAGGGCAGACATCGCTGACTTCCAGGGAGCTCGACTTGAGCCTGGCTGTGTTCAGACGGCTCCCTGTGCCTGTGTCCTGTCCTCATTTTGACTTGATGGCCTGTGTGGATAGATACCCTGTTCCCACATACGGTCATGCCGAGGCGCAGGGGGAGGGGAGAGATAACGCAGCCCCCACTTCCTTCACGTGCTCTTGGCCTTCTGAGGTCTCCTCCTTGCCCCCACACCTGAGGCTCCACCTTCTGGGAACACGTGGGTTTTGACCAGACCAGTAATCAACTCAGGCCAATACCTCTGGCCTGGGGTGGGGGTGGGGAGCTCTGCTGACTTTGGATGATGGGGGTGTAGACACATGACACGCAGTGGGTGGTGGCGGCCCCATCTGGCACAATGACCAGCAGAGACCCACAGACGGAGCCCCATGGCTCTCCCTGGTGGGCAGGCTGTACCCTCATGCTTACATGAGGGCTGGGGTGTTTGCTGGGCCTCTGGACACATTCATAGCTGGTTTGCTGAAGGACCACACAGCTGGCTGCCTCTCTTCCCCAAGACTGGCTGGACACCACTCACCCACCCACCCTCTGCAGAAGTCCTTGGTCTTGCTAATAGAAAAAGAATGGGACCACGTGAAGCTGCTCTGTGTAATGACAAGCCTGAGCTAGCAGAGGAATCCCAGTCACGATGCCTCAACGTATCCATGGCAACCACCACCTCTTCCTTTCCACCCAGGCCCAGGGGGGCTAGATACAGTGGCCCTGTCCTGGGGCATTCACTTATAGCCATCTTGGGACCAGACTGTTCCACCCCAGGGGACTGGGGATGCAGAAGCCATGACTGCACAGCCCCGTGGGGCCAACACGCACCCCTCAGCCCCGCCACGCACTCTACCTAGCAGAGGGCGCAGTCAATTCTCACAGCTTTACTCTTTATTAACACTTTGCTGCTTGTCACTGCTCTGAGCTTCACTGCAGTTCCATGTCTTGTCAGTCCTTTTCAACTCTCATTTTGGTAAAATAAATAGAGACAATGAACTCTAGGCCAGCGCTCTCTTGAGCCTTGGTTAGTTCCATGATTGAATTTTCGCATCAGATCTGTGAAGGCCCAGTCCGTGGGCAAGATGCAAGCGCTGCAGTTCCACTGGGGAGGGAGTCGACCCCCACCCCTCAGATGGCCCTGTGCTGCCCAAGCAGAACCACCAGCTAGACAGGGACTGAGCTGGACCTCACTTGGAGTTCAGCTGCTGGAAGGTCCCGGCGTGTCCCTGACTGGAGTGCCCTGCAGAGATGGGCAGCTGGGCTCCTGGGGCTGTGAGGTGGCTCTAAGGCCTCCCTGACTCCAAGCTGCTGCCTGGCCCGGCCAAGGGGATGAGCCCCTCCCGGTACAAGGGTCTCCTGTCCTACTTGTCCAGCCCCCTCTGGCCCTGTGGTCAGCCCGGCACTGCCTGCATGGACCCTTTCACATGGGTGATGCTCCTGACTCAAACAAGTCCGCTGCCCACAGCGCAGGGACCCAGCCTCTGCCCTAACTGTCCCCACCCGTGTCACTGGACTCCTGCTGGCAGGACTCATTAAGTCACTTTGTCCTCTGAAAGATCCTGATTCCCAGGGAAAACGGAAAATGCTTTTCAAATCGTCATTACTGTGCTGTGCCCGTTTGTGTGCGGCTCCTCAGCAACGCTGTGCTCCGGCCAGGGCGGAAATGGCGATGGCCTCTCGCCTGCGTGTGCACAGACACATCCGGACACACCAGACACCGCTGAGACGCTGTCACGTCACAGACTGCATGGCGCAGCCTGCGCTACACCATCAGTGGGCTGTTGCTGCCCACATGCCTCTAGGGTGCAGCGCGGTCTCTGAACGTCTGTGTCTGTGTGACGAGTGTGAGGCCAGCACGTGACAACACGTGCGGCAGGCCACAGTGCCCACACATGTGCAGGTGTGAGACTGCGGGCCTGCATGTGTGCGCACAGACGGGAGGACCAGGGCACACACATGTGCTTGGGCATGGATGGGGAGGCTGCGTGCCTGCATGCGTGTGTGCCTGTGCGTGGCACACACAGGGAGCTGTGGCCTCTGCTACTGCCCTATGGGAGAGAAGCACTTGAGAACGACATTGCCCGGCAGGCTGAGGCTATAGCTAATTCTACAGACCTGCCTCACCTGTCCAGAGCCACAGAGCCCTTTCCTCTAACCAGATCCTGTGCAGGAGGGGCCCCTTCCTCACACCATAATATGCCCAGGGAAGACGTGGGTGTGCTGGGCTGCCTGCCTCAGTGCCCTAGGAGGGCCAGGCTCAGACTCCACACTCGGGGAGCGGGAGAGGCCTCCCCTCCCCTCCCTCAATTGGTCGTCCATTCCTAGTACTGCCCAGCCTACTCGGAGGGGCTCCCGTCCACACTGAGAGGACAGCGGGGCTGGGCCGTGGCTCCTCAGGAGCCCCACACGCAGCTTTTCTACAGGGCTCCGTCTGTCCTGTGACTAATGCTTTGACCACACGGAGACACCGAATGTATCCCTTTGTAAAGCCTCAGAAGGAAATGGGACAGCACAGGGCCAAGATGCACACTGAGAGGCATCATGAGGTCCTTGGTGCCTGGGTGCTGGTTCTTTTGGGAAGCAGCGTCAAACCCTCCCCTGCTCTGGACTTGTACATTACAGTGAAGACAGACAGAAAGACGTGCAAGCCCCTCCTCAGCTGGCCACGGCCACGTCAGGAGCTGAGGTTTGCAGGGTGGGCAGTGGTTTGGTTCACTATGTACAGCAGAGGGTGGCTGCAGCCTGGCTGGGGTCCTGGGTGTCGCTATCTGACGCGCTTCTCCACAGAGTACACAGAGATGTAGTAGTCATTGCTTCCAACTGCCAGATGAGGCTGAGGGAGAGAGCAGACAAGCGTGTGAGCTGGGCGGGCCTCTGCTACGGCAGGAGCTGTGGCGCGGGACCTAGAGGAAGGGTGCAGGCTGCCTGTACTGCGCCCAGCTTTAGCCGGGAGGCATTAACCACCATAACACCTCCCAACTCTACACAGAAATGAAGGCCATTTACTGCCAGATTCTAGCAGGGACGATGTATCATTCAATTCCATTACAGGCAATTTGCATACTACCCATAATTCCCTGCAGCGTCTTTTCAGGATTTCTCCACTGGGAAGGCTCTGGGACCCTGACGCTGTGCACTTCAGCATCTATACACGGGCTCCGTGAAACCCACTCTGCAAAGCCCTAGCCAATCTAACAGCCCACGCCAGTGACAACTGTGGAAGGGTGCCCGGGACACTCATCTCCTGCTCCTTCGCCCCCAAACCAGAGGACACCGCCGCTGCCTTTCCCTCTGTGTCGTCTGTTTTTAACCCGAGTATTCAGAATTGAGTTTGCTTTCTAGGGGGCAGGGGGACGGTTTTATGGAGACCTCAGGCCTATCTCAGTTCTTTATGTTCTGGAGCTAGGAAACAGGGGCCCAGGCTTCCGTGGCCCCCCAGAAACCCAGAGGTGAAGGTACAGACCCAGTGTGGGTGGAAAGCCAAGCAGCTGATGGCGCCGACTCGCTGGCCCATAAAGCCGTCATAGTACTTGATGTTGTTGATCAGCTCTCCGTTTCCATTGTAGATGGCTGTGAACTGGTTCATGGAGCCACTGTGGCGGGGAGGAAAAGATGCTCAGAATATTGGCTTCTGTCTCCCAGTGGCATGGGAGGAAACAGGCCAAGGGGGTTGGCTGGGGACAGGCAGTATGCCGCACGTGGGGCCACAGGCCAGGAGGTCCACCCGAGTGTCGCCCTGAGGTAGGAAGAGGGCAGGTGCTTGTTCTCATGGCTGGAGGAGGCAGGAAGAGACCTTCTGTTTTTAATTTCACGGTAGTACAGTTACACCTCTAAGTTCTGCTCCTTCAAAAGCACCGAGAGAACTAAGCCCAGTGCTGTGCACTCTGACAAGGTTCTCTGCTCAGAAGTAGGGGTGACATGGAGGCAGGGTACCTACCAGGCGATCAGGTTTGCTTGGGGATGGATGTCGAGGGCTGTCAGCCCCTTCACAATCTGCATTACGTTCACAGACTCAGGCATCCGAGGATCAAAGAAGCGCACGTCTCCATTGACACTGTGAAAGAGGGCCATAGTTGACGCTTGCTGGTGTCAGCCTTACGGATATCACCTGGCCTCACGAGAGGGACCTGGCCCTGGAGGACGGCAGCACTGCCCATGCGAAGTCTCATGCCCATTTGCACACGCTGCTAAGGACAAACCATGTAGACTCCCAGCCCCCCATCAAGGGCCTCCTGGGTGGTGCCCACAGTCCCCCACCCTGCCACCCTATTGGCATCAGCAGTCAGGGCTCCCGGCAAGCTGCCCCTCGTAAGTTGGGAAAGGCCTGGACTGACACTGAAGACAGACCCTGTGCTGGCTCAAAGCAGGACACAGCAGCAGGGTTAGAGAAGAGGCGGGAGCAGAGTTCAGGAAGTGGAGCCCATGAGGACAGAGGAAGATGGCAGAGGGAGCCTGGTGGATGCCCAGCCCCACAGGGAGGCCAGGTTGCCCCCTTGCCTGGGTGGGTAGCCTGTGCTTCAATGCCCATTCCAGGAGCCACGTTTCACTTCATGGCATAGATCTGAAGGAATGGAGGCTTCATAACAGTAAATTATGCTTTGCTGTCTCTTTAACAGGCAAATAAAGATTCGCTGCTCTCAGCACAGTATTTACTGAGCAGCAGGCCTGAATTTATGTGCTGGCTGGTGACAAGGCAGTCTGCTGGGGCACCCAGCCTGCTTGGGAATGTGCTGCCAGGGGCACCTTGCTTTGCTGCCCCCGCGTCTACAGGAGGGACACATCTGCCTGCTCATCTCATTCAGACACACGGACACACCCTCTCTCTCTCTCCCTCCCTCCCTCCCTCCCTCCCTCCCTCCCTCCCTCCCTCCCTCCCTCCCTCTCTGCACTTTGACCTTTCTGGCCAGTCACAGAGCAGAGTCAATTACTGCTCTGAAATGCCACAGTCCCTAGCTGTTTAAACATCAAGGACATATTTATATGGAGGGGAAACAATGTTTTCACAGCCAATGTCTTGTGCCTGTGTTGCTCCTTACCTCACGCTCACGATGCGGCCCTCAGGGTGCTTCTGCAGGAAGGCCTTTACCACCCACGCTGTGTGCTCTCGGTACGTCATGACCCGGCTACAGGAGGAAGGTGCTGTCAGGATGGGCCCAGCCCCGTGGTGTGAACTGGCCGCCCTCTCCCTGCGCAGAGCCTCAGGAGGTGCCCAGGCTGGAGGCACAGCCAGGCTGTTCTAGACCACTCCCCACATCTGTCTAGCCTCCAATTCCTTAGTTCTGGCCTTGAAGTCTGGGTGCTATCTTGGGATGAGGAAGGCCTACTAGACCCGCCTGAGATGGGAACTCAGGGAGAAGGTCATTCTGTCCCTCTGTCTTCTCTGGGAGGAGGCCACAGGGCTGTCAGACAACTGCAGCCCAGGTGCTGCCTTCCTGCCAGAGGTCAGAGCCCCACTGTAAACTGAAGACACTTCACGCTCACAGAGGAACCTGGACCCTACCCTGGCAGTGGGGTGGCCTCTGCCATCTTTTGTTTAGTTTTTTACGAGACAGGGTCTCTCTGTATTGTTTTGGAGGCTGTCGGTCCAGCCCGGCCTCAAACTCACAGAGATCCGCCTGCCTCTGCCTCCCGAGTGCTGGGATTAAAGGCGTGTGCCATCTTAAACAGCACTGAGGAGAAGAGAGTTGTGACAGTTACCATTCACTGAGTGCCATCCTCCTGTCATAGACGCGGATGGAGCCATCGCCCAGGCCAGCCACAATGAGTGAGCGGTGGGAATCGCAGGACAGACTTGTCACACAGCTGTCAGCACCGGTGGGGATATCCTAAGCCCAGGGGAAAAAGAGCAGTGAGAGGGGCCTCTAGCTGGCTGCAGTGTCCTTTGTGGACACAGCCATTTCTTTCAGATAGGCCGAGGGCACTGGGTTGAGGGTAGTGCAGGCCTACAGGGCTTCAGGCGTGAGCTGATCTGCCTGTGTGTCTGCCCTGAGCCTATGCCTACAGGCCAGGCTGAGCAGAGCCTGTGAGCCCGGGCCTGGGCACAGCCCGGAAGGCAACTGTGGGGATGCCTGGCTCTTGGTGCCAATTAAAGTTTCCAGCAGTATCTCCCTTTCCTGAAAAGAAAGACAAAGCACATTTTGGCAGGGAGGGAGCCTCGTTAGCTCTCTCTTCAAACCCTAATTAGTCAGGAAGAGCTGAGGAGCTGCTTCCCTGCTCCCCTTGGTGCCGTAAATACTGCAGAAGGGCAGGGGTGATGAATGGGAGTAAGAAGTACAGGGAGCTGGAAATGGGTCTCAGAGGGGAACGTGCTCTCTCATCAGATGGGGCAAGCCTGAGAGGACCTCAGGGGAATTGGGGGGTTCTGAATGGGGAAAATTGTTAAAGAGCCATGTCCCCTCCTTTGCAGCTGACTCAGTGACACCCAGGGAGGCACTGCACCTGCACAGTCCCCAGAAACAGGACAAGCAAGCACTGTCTCCCATATGGGCAGGGACCCTGAAGGACAGACAGTGTCTGGTGGCACTGTGGGGCGTGAGGACGCCATGGAGGCATTCTAGCGGGTGTTGATGGGCAGACTCAAGTCACTCCTGCCTGTCTCCGCCCCTCTGCTCTGCAGATGTCCACAACTGTCCATGAGCCCACTCTGGCAGGGCAGGCTGGAGAATGCTGAGGGCAGGCTCTGCTCTGTGGCTCACTGGGTGCTGGGAAAACACATCCCTCAGCTACCTAGGTGATGTCCTTACAGTATCTGTGATTTTGCCTTGGACCCACAGGAGGTAGGAGCAAGTGAACTCTGGCAAGGAAGCCCAGGTATCTGAGGCAAAACCTATTAATGTGAAAAATTTGGAACTTACAAAATAGGATTATGTTTCAAAAACAATCTTGAAAATGACAGATGATTTAAGCAGGGGCTGAGCTCCAGCTCAGGGACAGCACACAGATGTCTTCTGCGTCCAGCACCACAGGGTAAGTAAAGACATAGACGGCCAAACAACCAGCCGTTCTCATTTAAGACAGTTCACCCTACTGATTTCTGGTAGTTCCTAACTTGCATGGAGAAAACAGTATTTGGAGATAATTTGGATTAGCACAGACTTAATTATGCAGGGTCAATCATTGTGCATCCAGAGGTAATTAGCTTCTCTCGCCTAGCAGCAAGATGCCATCACCCCCGCCCGCCTCCCTGTAGACAGACAGCTTGGGCAGCAGGCACTGACTGTGCTTGCCTGGCGGCCACAGGTCTTAGTTCTCTTTGACAGGGATGGGTCTGTTTTGTGGAGTGAGGGCATGGGGACTCTGGGGTTACCTGCACTTTCGTCTCACGGTCAGTGTCCCAGATTCGAACAATGCGCACGTCCCCTGAGCTCATGAGGAGGCCGGTTTCTTGTTCCCAGTCTACCACCATCCCAGCTCCTGGGGAAACACAGTGGTCACTATGTCAAACAGTGGCTCAGCCATCCAGGGACATCCCAGGCATGCCCCTCAGTCATGTAAGGCTAGGCTGGTGCAATAATGTTCAGATGAGCACTGTGCTCTCCCAAGACCTTATACGCTCTACCCATCCATGCACTGAGTCACAGAACTCAGACCCTGTCTAAATACATCTTCTGCAACTCTGAGGCACAAAGTGTGCAGGTCACCTTTCAGTGGCTTCCAGGCCAAGTCAGAACGCCAAGGTCATAGTTCTCTTTGGAAAAGCAGGGAATTTCTACAGGCCACGGGCCACTTGTCCCCAAGCACAGGGTGAGACACCGAGGAGACTGTCCTGACTGCTAGGATGGAGATGAGTGACAGACTCAATGCAATGAGCTCTCAGCTGGGTGCAGTAGCTTGTGTCCACCATCCCTGCTACTGCGGGACTGAGGCAGGAGAACAGCCAGTAGGCAGCTCCCCCAAGGTCACTCTGTCCACATGGCGTGGACCTCCCTCCATCAGAGCAAAGTGCTTATAAAGTGAGCCTCTGTACCCAAGGTCCAAGGCAACAAAGCGCTGATGCTCAAGTCCTCTGGTAGAGTGGATGCGGGTACCCATGGGCTGTTAACTCAGCCGAAGCCAAGGAGGCAGGAGCTAGTTCATCTCTGGTCCTCATTGCTGCAGGAGGCTCATGGCCACAGACACACCACCTCCTGAAGCATGACTGAGGGCCAGCCACAGCAGGCAGTCCCTGAGCATTTCTTGGGAAAGCTGACACCACACGTGGACCCTCTGGGCTTCACTCATTTTTTCATCTCAGACAGCTGAGACTTCTACAAGGAAACCACAGGCCACTCAGGCTTCCTTTCCCATAGTTCTGGAGGCTACAGGTCCCACTGGCTCAGGCAGGTTTGAGTGTGTCTGGACTTCTCCAAGATGGAGATTACCATTCAGTGGTCCTGGGATAGCACTCAGCCTTCCCAAGTCACATTTGGCTACCCACAGTGCTGCCTACAACTTGGCCAACTGAGAACATGGTGAGCACTGGAATCCCTGAGGGTTACCTACTCTTGTGGTTTCTAGGGGTGACCACTGGATGATTTTGTAAACACGGAAGTGAATGGGTGTCCTGGAGGCATCAGAACTATGTCTTTCGCAGTTCTAGATGGCCTTCTCCTGAGCAGCCAAGGCCCCACCTTGTACTATCTGTAGCATGTCTAGGAGCTCAACCCACCTCGTGTGGTTGGTAGCATGTCTGAGAGCCCCTGCCATGCAGTAACCATCTCTGGATTCTTTTCCAAATCAGCAAAATTCTTCCAGACCCTGATGGCGCCATCGTCTAGGGAAGGAGAAAGGCAGTGTAAGCCCGTGCCCTGGAGGTGCAGCCCCATCAATCCCTGTCTCCAAGACACAGATGCAGCCTTCTGGATGCCTCGTCTTGCGATTCTGATGTGAGCAGTCAGTAAAGCCAGCTGTCAGGGGAGACGGTGCCGTGGCAGATCCCAGCACTGGACACCACAAGCCCCATGTGCATGGCTTGACTGCATGGCCACTTACCTCTCCCAGAGCCAGCAGCAGGGGCCACGCTCTCTTCCAAACAGAGAGGCTGTGTGAGAGCTGAGTCACTTCCCTGACTCTCAGTGTGAAACTCAGCTTTTGCAGAGGTAACAGCTTTGGGGCCCCCACCCTTGTCTGCACTGCCCTCGGTGTTCTGCACACCCGTCAGCCTGACCTAAGGTCAGGAGAGGATGGCTGCTTGGCTCTCTGCCAAAACACTACTGCTCAAAAATGAGCATGGTACTAAGATATGTCAGGCGAAAGACCAAACAAACAAGAAAACAGAGTGAGAGCCGTCGCGGTTTCTGAAACACTCCTCCTCACCACCCACAGGAAGCAGGAAGCTGGCCTGCAAAGATGGAGAGACCTGGCCTGGGAGCCTTCATGGTCATTGGAGGAGGGAACAGCATGGCCCTTGTGGGCATTATGGCCTAGGCTGTGCTTCCTTGGGGCCCATGTGGGTCCCCCATGAAGGTTAGGAAGGCACAGGCTGACATGGCATTTCCTGGTCGTGGAAAGGCCAGGGACACTTGATGAAAAGACAGTCCTAGAGTCCTGACTAACACCCTAACTTGCTTGTATTCAAGCCCTTTTCCTCACAAATGTCATTCTTCAGAATGACAGGGATCCACACAGACAGGAAGGACAGACAGAAGACGCATGTTCCTCAGGCCTGGGCCCACATCAGTCCCGCTCACCTGTGGCTGTCAGCAGCAAGGAGCAGTCCTGGCCATTCAGGTACTCCATGGCGGTGACTCTAGTGTACCGAGGGTTGCCATTGTGGAAGTAGTCCAGCTTCTCTCCTTTCTCCCAGTCCCAAAAACTTGAAGGAATAAGAGGAGACAGAAAGACAGTCACCAGGGAAACACAGCCCAAACCCCAGTAGGATACTGCTCACGAGGAAGCTGCAGTCAGAGCAGAAACTGGCCAGTGTGGGTGAGGAGCTTGTGTCCTGCTGGCGGGAGGGTACAGTGTGGTCGAGGAAAGATGATGACTCAGCATTCTACCTCTGGTACGCTCCCCAAGTAACCCAAGGCAGGACCCCAAGATGATGGACCCTACACCTGCGTTCACAGAAACAACCCCAGTACCCTGGGCAGCGGATGGTGTGGGAGATTCATCACCAGGCCCCAAAGGAGTATGAGCCAACCTGAGCCAACCATGAGGTACAAATGAAAGAAGCCAGTCACAAAGACAAACACCATAAAAATTCCACTCTCAGGAGGTCCCTAAGGGCCTCTGTTCAGAGACAGAAAGAGGGTGGAGCTGATGGGACCTGAGGGGAGGGACTAGTGTCCACTGTGTGGTTTTCTTTTTTTTTTTTTGGTTTTTCAAGACAGGGTTTCTCTGTGGCTTTGGAGGCTGTCCTGGAACTCGCTCTTGTAGACCAGGCTGGCCTTGAACTTACAGAGATCCGCCTGCCTCTGCCTCCCGAGTGCTGGGATTAAAGGCGTGCGCCACCAACGCCCGGCCCACTGTGTGGTTTTCTTAAGGCAGCTGGAGAATATTCTGGAGGAACTGGCAGGGTTAGCCTTCGTAGTATGCATGTGAACTGACAGCAAATGGTTAAGAAGGCCAGTTCCTGTAATACACAGTTTACCGAAGAAGAAGAAGAAGAAGAAGAAGAAGAAGAAGAAGAAGAAGAAGAGGAGGAGGAGGAGGAGGAGGAGGAGGAGGAGGAGGAGGAGGAGGAGGAGGAGGAGGAGGAGGAGGAGGAGGAGGAGGAGGAGGAGGAGGAGGAGGAGGAGGAGGAGGAGGAGGAGGAGGAGGAGGAGGAGGAGAAGAAGAAGAAGAAGAAGAAGAAGAAGAAGAAGAAGAAGAAGAAGAAGAAGAAGAAGAAGAAGAAGAAGAAGAAGAAGAAGAAGAAGAAGAAGAAAAAGATCTACAGGTCTGCATTGTATAAGCTATGAGCCCACTGAAGTGGACAGTGTCCTCATTACAGCAGGTCAGAAATTCTCTCTCAGGGATCCTCTGCCACCCATTTGCTTCTGTCCTTTAGTGACGCAGCCCAGGTGAGGGCCAGGGTTGGGTGGGAGAAGACACCAGGGTGAACTGAAGCCATGCCTACCAGATGCTGTCCTTGTCGGCGACAGCTATGCAAGGCGTGAAGGGGTGGAATTTGACCACAGAGGGCACTCCAGGGTTCCTGTTCAGAAATATCTGATCATCCAGTCTGGTGATGCCTATAAGAGAAAATGAAGCCAAGTTCTTATCTACAACAACGCCGGCATTACCTTTACTAGATAGAGCCAAAGCAGGGGGACAGCAGGGACCAGAGAGAAGGGAAGCACACACTGAGGAAAAGGGGACCCAAAGCTCCTGGCAGAGCTAGGCACGGACATGCCTCTGATAAATGCTTGTTACACTATGCATAGCAATATTCACGGCAGAGGAACCTCTGAGACTCTAGAGAGTGCTAAGAACGTCAGGGTGAAGGAGGGTGTGGCTACCACCACTCAAGACCCAGTTAAGGCCCAGGGTCTTCAGTCTGGGAGGTCCTACACATCAGCTGGCTTCTCAAGAGTCAGAAAGCAGCTAAGGATGCAGAGTCCAGGCAGCTGCACACATGGTATGGTGGGCAGTGAAGTCTACTCAGAGTAAACAGCGCTTCACAGCTGCAGCACCAAGGAGGGAACGCAGCACCCGCCTTGGCCCTAGACACTGGCATGGGCCTCTGGGTATCAGGTGGGGGGTGCTTCAGGGACTGCACATCTTTTCATCCAGTGAACACAGCACTTGGGTGGACAGAGGACAGCTCTCTGGTCTAGCCAGGAGGCCCTGTGATCCTATGCAGAGTGGGGGCTTAGTGCTAGCAGAGACCAGCTCTCATGCAGCCCTGAGCTGGGCTCCTTCCCTTGCTGCACAGGGGGCTCTAGGACAGCGACACTGAGAGTCACACTGTTCAGCCAGGTGGGGCTGCTCTGCAGACAGCGTCTGCCTTCCGGTTCCTCTTTGCAGGCACCGGGTAAAGAGGGAAAAGACTGGAGGGGAGTGGTGCTGGAGGAGGAGGAAGCCCTGGTTTGCAGTGGTTCAAGTCTATAGTCTGGGGCGCCCTCATTCTCAGTTACGTTTTTCTTGCTGTTGTTGAGGACTCCAGGATAAAGTTCCGAGCACTGGAAGGTGAGAGAAATACTCTACCAGCTGATGCACTCTGCATATATGCAAACAGCAGTGCTCATGTCGTGGTGACTTAGGGGAAGCCAATGACAATCAGGGACTTGAAGAATGCCAAGTGGTCTGTGCTCGTCCCCATCTCCTGGGGCCTGACGCACACCTTTGCAGTCAGCTGCATCCAACCTCGAGGCAGCATTTCCCACCTCTCTTGCTGACACAGACCAGTACACACCCAGTTGTCCGACAAAGGCTTGTACTGAATCTAGAAACTGAACCTGGGCGCCCGGCAGAATGAACTGCTCAGCCTGAGCTGCCTGTGTCTCCATCATTCACTAACTTCTCTTTCAGGTTATGTGAGTGCTCTACCACCAAGCTACTGCACCTGTGTTTGTGTGCGTTTCATACACATATCTCCTTTTCACAAAGACTACTTGTCCTGTGTGTGTGTGCGCGCGTGCGCACGCACGTGTGTGAGCGCTCACAAGTGCGTGTTAGAAGTTAACCTTGGGAATCATTCATCAGGAGCTATCATCCTTGGTTTTAAAACAATGGTTCACCAATTATGCTAGGCTGGCCGTGTCTGCTTTGGCAGTGCTGGGATTACAAACATGTAGTATAGTGCCTAGCTTTTGATATGTGGGTTCTGGGGCTTAGACCCAGGTTCTCGTGCTCGTGTGGTGAACACTTTACTGAGTGAGCCGTCTCCCAGCCCCGCCTGTCTTTGTACTCTGAAGGTACGCCTCGGTTCTGAATAGAGATGCCAGTTGGTGTTGCCTCGCAGCCGGGACCACGAGGCCCCAGACGTGGAACTGTGTGGGCCTAGTTCCAAACTCAGGACACTTCGCCACCCTAGCCGCCCTGGCCTGGGGTCCTGGGGTTCTAAGGAGACACCATCTAGGAGTGTGTAGTAGACAGGTGTGCAGAGAGGGCGCTGTGGACATCGTGCTTGCCAGCCGCACACGTCTGAGCAGTGGCTGCTGGGCCGCGCACAGAGAGACCAGCACCTGCGAGGGGGCATGAGGAGTCCACAGTGGGAGCAGTGAGTCCTTCTGCACCACAGGCCCCCAGGGCCTGCGTCATAGGTCTGGGGACACAGGCCAGGATGTGCAGGAAGAGAGGAACTGAGTGAGGCAAGTCTGAGGCTGGCGCTTGCACGGGAGCGACAGCCTGTCTTCTGGGGCTCAGTTCTAATTGAACACGTAACTGGTCATTGTTTTCTAAAGTTCAGAGGACAGGGAGGAACTCGGAAGAAGGTCCGAGAATGACCCCACTGACCGTTAGTCATGGCTGCCTCTGTGAGAAAAACCACTTGGCCACTACTGGTTCTCATATAATCAGAGCCATGGAACTGCACCCTGGGTGGTGGGGCAGCCTCTCTGCACTCCTGACTAGATGAAGGGCCCCGGTCTCGGGGTGAGGTGATCTGGCCCTCATTCCTGCTGCACTTGGGGTGCTCCTGATCCTAGCATGGCCTCCAGGCCTGAGTGTGTACACACTATGCAATCTACTGAAAGGAGCTTGCTCTTGGGACTCTACAGCACACACACTGTCCTTGGCTGATCGGTAACATTTCCCCCATGCAGGGAGCAAGTGTGGCGGCATGCTGTCAAGGCTGGGAAGGGGCTGGTGATAGCATTGTTGTCGAGGTTTGGAGGGATGGAGCCAGGGTCACTTTGAGAACATCCCAGGTGATCAGTGAGATGTGGGTCCCCAGGGCCTGGAAAGGGCTTGCACCCCCACCCCCTTCTGGACATGCCAAAGAGCAGAAGTGATGCTTCTTGGAAGGTCATCGGCCAACAGAGACCCCAGGGCAGGAATGTCCTTGAGGGGAAACCCTCCCCATGAGGTGGCCTCCTCTTCCCCATGCCATTCCTCCCTGTTCCAGCTGCCCCCACCAGTCAGCGTGCTAGTCTGCAAGAGCAGCACACCGTGCCTTGGGGGCGGAAGGGGACCGGCCAGGTCCTGAGTGTGTCTGGCAGAAGACCTGGGGGGTGGCGCTGTGCACTTACCCTTCTGGATGACCTGCTGCGCCTGCTTTCTGACTCTAGTGTTCCTCAGGAACCGCCACTCGCGTTCCTTGCGGATCTGGCTCTCCAGGTCATGCTCTTCAGGGATCTTTAAGGACAGAAAATCCTACATTAGGCTCAGCAACTAGAAGACAGCCACTTCTGAGCTGATTTCAGCACTTGGGAGGCTGAGACAGGTGGAACACCATGAGTTCGAGGCCGGCATGGTCTATATGGTGAATTCCAGGCCAGCCTGGGCTACAGAGTGGACCATGTCTTAGGAAAAAACAAACAAAGGACATCATTACTGAGTACTGGAGGTCTGGATCCTTTAGTCGGGACCCTGGCTGAATCCTACTGATGGGAGGAGGTGGACCGTAGGGTGGAGTCCTGAGATCCTCCAGCAAGCGGAAACGCCTCCCAGCCATGCAGAGACACTCGTTTGTCATCATGGCTACATTGCCTTCTCTCCCCGAAGCAGGTAAACTTCACTGACTGATTTTCTTGGGAAGCGAAGTTACTAAAAATTCTCTAAACAGTAAGACCCTCCCTCCTCCTGGCTGAGAACACAGATAGAGGGCCTGTCTTGGACAGCCAGGAGACAGCTGCTTCCTGAGGGACCAGCAGCAGGAGGAAGAGCCCAGGCAGGATGGCATTTCTTCTCCAGTGTTTTATTGCTACACACCCTTCTTTTTCTTCTCAAAAACTGCAAACCCCCCCCCCCAAAACACCCAACAACAACAAAATCAACAACCACAGGGAGACACCCAACCTGGACACAGGGGAGATGTCACCACCTTCTTGTGAATGGTTATTAGTTTAGAAATAGCCCCACAGCAGCAAATGTGGGTTCAGAACCATGAGTGTCAGGTTATTTCACGACACGGCAGAGCTTATTAGAAAAGGAATGACAAATGGCCAATGACGAGGAGCAACAGTAAGAAGCAGCTTTCGACAGATCTGAGTGCAGAGAGATGCACTTTAGGGAAACCCAGTTTCTCTGGGAGCAGGTTAGGAGAGGTCTAAAACGTGCTTGGAGCAGGAAGCCAGACCTGAGGGGTGGGACCCCAGGTCCTGGTGCAGCTGACTGACTGGACGACTGTGCTGAGCTGCTGTTGCACATGTGGGGGTGGACCCAGGGCAGATTCCAGGCCTGGTCTCCAAAGATGACAAAACAGACCTAGACTAGAGGAGACGCAGGCACACGACAGCCTGAAGGGCGTCAGACAGTCTGGCACTTGCACTGTCACTGGTGACAGAACCCTGGCCCCGAGGCTCTCATGGGCGTGAGGGTGAGGGCTGTCTCTTTCACCCAGCACTTAGAAGCCAGCCATATCTTTCGGATCTGCTATACTTGTGACAGGCAGTATCGGAACCAGGTTCACAGGAGAGAGGGAGAGGGAGAGAGGGAGAGAGGGAGAGAGGGAGAGAGAGAGAGAGAGAGAGAGAGAGAGAGAGAGAGAGAGAGAGAGAGAGAGAGAGAGAGAGAGAGAGAGAGAGAGAGAGAGGAGGTAAACTACATTGTGAGAAGAAATAGGCATGGAGCCATCGGGGGAGACCAGAGTGGAGCGACCATATGAGACTGGGCAAAAGACCATCCCCCTTCTTGTGCATTTCCCCTTGTTTTATTTCCCCTTGTTTTCTCTCTCCAACCACTCATCTCTGGGCTGCACAGTTTTTCCTTTTGGTAAACAAGCACCCAGCCCTGGCTTCTGGGATCCTCTCTCTCAGCAGAGCTCCTAGAGCAGTGTCCTCAGCCTTCCTAATGCTGTGACCCTGTAATATGGTTGTTGTGGTGACCCCCAATTATTTCATTGTGACTTCCTAACTGTAATTTTGCTACTGTTACAAATCGTAATGTAAACATCTCGACCCCAAAACAGTCATGGCCTGCAGGTTGAGAACTGCTGCCCTACAGGGATGCCTAACTGTGTGACACGACAGGGATGACACGCTGATTCTGCGCCTCTTGGCTTCTCAGAAACACCAATCAGAGCTCTGGTGGCACAGGGAGCCAAGAGTCAAGGCTCAGCCCCTTTCTGGTCACAAGAACTTGGGGTACTCAAGCACTGGAGGTAAGACATGTCATGGACGCAGGTCTCGTGTGGAGTCTGGACCTTGGGGCTATGTCTTACTTTTGGTGTCTTGGGAATTAATAAGGATCAGGTGTGTCGAGTGCCTTAACTCACTGAACCAGGCTGTGCTGGATAATTTTATGTCAGCTTGACACAAGCTAAAGTCATCTGAGAGGAGGAAGCCTCAGTTAAGAAAAGATGGGGCTTCAGACAAGCCTTTGGGCAGTGGTTCTCAACCTTCCTAATGCTGCAACCCTTTAAAACAGTTCATGTGTTGCTAACCACCAACCATAAATTTTGTTGTTACCTCATAACTGTAATTTTTCTACTGTTATGAACTGTAATGTAAATGTCTGTGTTTTCCAATGGTCTTAGGTGACCCCTGTGAAAGGGTCACTCAACACCCAAAGGCGTGTGCTATGGAATAATCTTTTTGTACACCGTGAAGATGTGTCATTTGGTTTGGTTTAATAAAAAGCAGAACAGCCAATAGCTAGGCAGGATTTTCGGGGCAGACAGAGCATCGGGAAGATGAAGGCGGAGGGAGATGCAGAAAAAAATGGAGAACAAGCAAGACATGCAGGAGAGGTAACAGCCACGAGCACATGGGTTAATATAAGTTGTAAGAGCTGGCTAAGAACAAATGTATGCTATCAGTCAAGCTTTCATGACTAATAATTGTATGGGAACACCTCTGAGGCTGGCTTCAGAGTCCTGGTGACTTATTATCACGCGCCATCCTTTCGTATGGCGCGGGTAGAGATTAACATTACAGTTTGGTCATGCGGCACACCACACATTCCATACTTGTGTAACTGCAGATATGTGTGATACCTTTAAAAGTGTGTGTGTGTGTGTTCAGAGCAAGGGAACCAGACACCAATGAAAATGGGGGACCCAGGTGATCCAGCCTCTCAGAGAGCCTCTGTTGCAGAGTCCTCAGAGTTCAACATTCGGAATAGCTTCAACGCAGTTGGCTGAGATGGTCCAGCCTCACAGACTACTTCAGCCACATTTCAGATCTGCACTTTCCATCACAAAGAGACTAGACAATAGTTAGCTCTCCCAGGACCTAACCGTTATCTTAATTTCTCAGGGTCTTCTAAAGATGTCACTGTCCCCAGAAAACAGGAAGCAGTCTAGAAAACATAATGACCACATTCCCAAGAGATGGGGTGGGTGGTTTTTGGTCATTCAATGGGTTATGGCTATTTGTCATCGTTTAAGGGATTAATTACAAGTTGTTATTGGTAATGCTCAGGAAAAAAAGCTGAACAAAGGAGATTAGATTCAGGGATCTTGTTCTGAAAAGGAAGGATATATTATTGTATCTACTTTCAAGCTGAGAAAAAACAACTACTAGTTTCAAATATTGTACACTGCTATGGATTTTTGTATATTGATACAAACTTAAGATGATTTTTGTTATACTGTATTATATGTTTCTATTTCTCTTCTTTTTCTTTCCTTTTTTCCCTCCTTTTTTAGTTTTTTGAGACAGGGCTTCTCTGTGTAGCTTTTGAGCCTATCTTGAAACTCGCTCTATAGACCAGGCTGGCCTCTAACTCACAGCAATCCGCCTGTCTCTGCCTCCCGAGTGCTGGGATTAAAGAGGTGCACTACCACCATCTGGCTCTATTTCTTGTTTAAGGGATTGTAATGTAAAGTTCTACTCCTTGAAAGCTATTTAGGATAATAAAGAAATACAGAATAATAATTAGTCACCTACAATAATCAGGTGTGTTTTCAAGGTCAGACAGAGATATATTTTAGATAGGTAAGTGATCTTCAAATACTTTAAAGACCTACAGAATATGGTACTTAAGACGTTTTAATAACTAAGGTTTTCATGACAGTGAGGCATGTCTGCTCCTGACAACACCAACCTACTCCATAAAAGGATGATGGGCATCAAAGAACCTCCATAAGGAGTTTGCTTTCATTGTGGCAAAGCTGGCCATTTGGGCAAGAAACTGCCCTCACCTCCACTGCTGATAGTATACTGTCCAAACTGGACACAAAGGAATAAGACTGACAAACTTTGCCAAGACCGGGGGGGGGGGGGTCCTTCAAAATTCCTGCTTCACAGTAAATTCTATCAGATATTCTAGGCCTGAAGGCTAAAGATAATGCCCCAACACTGCAGAGGAACCTTGGGTGACTGTCTAGGCAGCCAGCTGTCTCTGTTGTTTCTTATAGTTGCTTGCTCTGTACTCTGTCTACTTCAGGGTCACTCAGGAAATATTACATCCTTCTTGGGTCTTTAACAGGGTTGAAGACCAGACAGTTTTCCTTAGTCATGAGAGAAAGTAAATTAGGTACAAAATTTACCAAGCTAGGATAGATAATATAGTACCTTCACTAAATCTGCCACACACAAATGGACTAGATATTAAAAATGTAATTGTTGCCTGATAATTGTTCTTAATTGTATATACTTTTACTGTGTTAGAGTTAAAACCTTTCATTTTTATTTAGAAAAAAAGGGGGATATGTGCTGGGTAGTGGTGGCTTACACCTTTAATCCCAGCACTTGGGAGGCAGAGGCAGGTGGATCTCTGTGAGTTCAAGGCCAGCCTGGTCTATAGAACAAGTTCCACACAGAGTAAAGGTAAGAGAGCTACAAGAGCTAGTTAGAAACAAACCCAAGCTGTCATAATTAATATTCTGTCTCTCTCTGTCCCCACCCCCCCAGCTGGCAGCCCAAAGTAAAATTCAATTACAGGGGTTGAGGTCTGCAGGTTGCAAATGCTGCTGTAGGGCATTTTCTTTGTTAGTGATTGATGGGGGGAGGGCCCAGCCCACTATTGGTGGGGTTAGGGTTAGGCTGCTGGCCCTGGGTTCCATAAGAAAGCAGGCCATGAGGAGCAAGGGAGTAAGTGGCAGTCCCCCATGGCCTCTGTCAGCTCCTGCCTCCAGGTACCTGGCCTGCTTGAGTTCCTGTCCTGAGTTCTTGGATGGTGAACTATGATAAGGAAGTATAAGTTGAATAAACCTTTTCCTCTCTAAGTTTTCTTTGGTCATGGTGTTTCACTGCAGCAATGTTAACCCCAAACTAAGACACGGAGTTCTGTGGATCCCGGCCTGGGTTCAAACCCTGTGTAGCTGAGGATGGGCACAGCAGCTGCCTGGAGTGTCTATTTGATGAAGTCCATCATTTTGTTTGTATCTTATTAAAGGCTCTGCCTGACCCAAAGGTTAGGTACATGTGGGCACGGTTCACTCTGTTACTTGTTGGTGAGGTGTGAGGTGAGGCTTGAGGCTGTTTCTTTGAAATGTTTCTGCTGTACCGGACAGTTTTCACACCTTTGCGGAAAATCAATGGAACCTGCCCATGTGGCCGTCTCTGGGCTCTTCATTCTGCCCTGTTGATCTATGTGTCTATCCATGCTCTAGTTGTACACATCCTGATTACGAACTGGACAGTCTTGAAATTGGACAGAGTGAGTCCTGCAACTCTGCTCTACTGCCAAGTTTCTAGTTTTTGGAGCTTCATTGCTTTTCTCCATATTTTAAGCTCTTCGGTTTTTGCCATTGATCAAGGCAACACTGATTTAGTGGCCATTTAGGGAGGCCCAGCACCTGTATGCTATTGAGCATTCCCACCTAGGAACATAGCCTCTCTCATCTCTTCTACAGTATTATAATTTTCTGTATTTTTAAAAGATTTACACCTAAGTATCTGGGTCTTGTAGTGTTATGCAACTGAAGTTACTCTTCAGTTTCTAGTTGCTTCTGATAGAGATACAGGTGATTTTGTGGCGTATCTCTGTATCTGGCGAGCCTCTGATAGAGATACAGGTGATTTTGTAGCGTATCTCTGTATCTGGCGAGCCTCCTGACCTCACGTCATCCTAGCGGCATTTGCAGGCTTGGACTTCCCATGCACACAGGGATGTCTGGGGGTGGAAACAGCTTCATTTCTCCTTCCTGACCTCACTTTCTGTCTTTATGGGACTCATAGAGACCAACTGTGTTTGATTTTTTAATATATTATTTTGCATCTTAAACAAAGCAATGTTTAATTTGAAGGGGATGATGGCCCAAGATGTAGGAAGTTTGGTCATCTTATATTTTGACGCCTGTTTTGAGTGCTTTCAGAGCACTTGGGCATCTAGCTGACACACAATTAAGACTACAACTGAAAACTACTCTCAGTTTTCAATGTGCAGGAGGAGAAAATCTTCTAAGAACCCACTTCAGACTTACAGACAAATCTAAAAGCCATCTCTGCAGCATTTGCATGGAGACCGACTCACAGGCTGCCTAGGAGTAGCTGCTGCAGGTTTGGGGCCATTAGCTTGGGCACAAATCTAGTCTTGACACATTTTCCACTGCATGTAAGGCAGAGTAAACCCAGGAAGCAGTCTGACATAAAGCCAAGTCACCAAGAATGACCAAGGATAGGTGTGAGCACAGATTTTTGACTGTGCTTTCTTTGGGAAGACAGGAGAAAAGCAAAGTTGGCCCCTTTGGCTCTTCTTTTTGTTTTTTTGTTTTGTTCTGTTTAAGACAGGGTGTCTCTGCCTTCAAAGTGCTGGGATTAAAGGTACGCACCCCCACCTGGTGGGCTCTTCTGTCTCAACTGTTGCTGCCTGTACCATGAAAACACTTGGGTGTCACCTTTCAACAGCTAGCGAGGTGTAAAAGGAGTCACAGAAACCAAAGGTAAGGCCGAACGTGGCTGCGCTGCACCTGACCTATATCCCTGCAAATCCTGGCCCTCATGCTCAGGTCACAACTGGGCTAACAAATCCTATTGAGCCAAAGATGGGGACAGGATTGGGGCTTTGTGTCACTAGGCAGGGACTCCAATGAACAAGGATCAAACCCCAAGACCAGCATCAGGGACACAGGGGCAAGGAGAAGGCAGCATGAGGACCCCAGCTTCAGGAGAGAGCACCAAGGCTGTGGAACCCACATCCTAAGGTCCCACTATGGCAAAGCTCAGTACTCACCTTCATGACCGGCTGGGCAAAGTAGCGGGCACTCCAGTCGCAGAACCCAGTCTGTATTGTGGCACAAACGAAGTTCTTGTGTCCTGCGGCATCATCAGCATCGTCTGTGGTCTTGGGGTGTTTGAGAAAGAACAGAATCAGGAAGAAACGCCTTAGTCTCACTGTGCCCAGTGACGTGAGCTGTCAGTCGATGTCTCACTGTGCAGCCCAATCTGGCTTGGAAGTCCTGGTCCTCCTGCCTCCTGAGTGTCAGGATCGTATGTTCGCGCCTGGCACCCCATACTTCCTACACTTGAAAGGATGTCTAACTTATGACAAAGGCACTGTGAGCAATGCTGTGGCAGATGACCACGCTGCACTCTTCTCACTGGAATACAGAACCAGTGGTCTTCCTGCCCCAGCACTATGACTGCTGGGGTCCCCGGTGTGTGTCACTGCTCCAAGCTGAGAGACACCCTGAGCATCCCATCCCTCTCTGCTGTGCCGTGGCTCATCTGTGCGGCTCTGAGAGCCTAGGGCAGCAGTACATTCCTCTCCTGAGCCATTCTTTTCCGCTTAGTTAAAGGCAGAGCATGTGCTTGCTTGTGTGGAATAACCAAATGCTCACAAACAAGTCACCCAGAACAAGTAACACGGAGCAGTGGCCACATCATGTGTGGCTATTCACCCACAAAGGGGAGAAAGCAAATTAACTCCACATGCTTAACGTGACTCATGGAGTGGCCCAGATTAGCCAACCCAGAAGAGGGAGGAACTGCAGGAGGACCAGACCTGCAGAGGGGGTGCTGGACCTGGGTGCCACTGTGTCTCCAAGGGTCTCACAGGCAGTAGTTGGCCAGGTCACAGGGACAGAATGATCTCAAACTAAGGAATGTCAGGAAAACAAAGCCCTCAGCACCCTGTCCTAACACTGAGTACTTACTGGTCGTGAGGGCTGCAAAGCAGCTCATGTCTTTTACCTGGTCAGGGCCTTTGTCAAACATCTTTCGCGTTCGAGGGAACTGGTGGGAGTGAGGGGTGTACTGTGCCCCTGTGGGGCCTGCAGTGCCCGGGCGGCTGGAAGGCAGGTCACGGCTGACAGTCTGCTTGGCCACGTCATTGGTCAGGCTGCAGCTGCTGCTGCTAGACGCTGGCGGAGAACCTCTGCAGTTGGACGAGAGCAGACGGCATGCTGTACCGCAGGATCCCAACGCAGATGAGATGCCAGGCCCTCTCCCCAGGAATGTCCAACTGCCTTGCCTGCCTGCCTGCCACTAGCTGGAGCTAAGTAGGACTGTCCTTCTGGATGCTCCCTGGCAGGTGTTGAGAAGCACCCTTCACCAGACACGAGTGAACTGAGCAGTGAACAGTCACACTGTTCCTGAGCAGAAACTGGTGTGACAGTGTAGAGCCAACCCCACATCGCTCACCTACATAGAGAACCCAGGTCCTCGGAAAAAATTCCAAAGGGCACATAATCAGGCATCATTCAGAGTTTCCTGTCATGCTGTGTACAAATGAAGTGTGGCTGGCATAGGGAAAAAGTTTAGAAAGGAATGTGTGTATATGTGTGAAAAAGTTTAGAAAGGGACGCGAGTGAGTGTATGTGTGTGCGTGCGTGTGTTTAGGGAGAGAAGAGGGAGAGCGGTGGAGAAGTGCCAAGAGAAGGGAAGGGAGGGGAACAAGGACCTGGCCTCGATGCCACATCTGGACCCCGCCCGAGTAGGGAGGAGTTAGCAAGCCACTCACCCCACTTGGTGGATGTGTACGCCCTTGTTGGTTGGGCTGGCTGGGGCCGACTGAGTGAGAGAGGACGTGTCCAGGGTGCGCTGGGGCCGGGCGTTCACCGTGGCCTACAAGAGCAGAGGAGGAAGGACATGGTGGTCAGACGCTAACTTCTATCTGAAGCTATAAGGTTTCAGATTCCTGTGAGAGCTGTGGCTGGGTCTGTGTAGCTTCAAAACGCAGAAAGATTTTTTTGTTGGTGTCTGTGGAGGAAAGCTGTGACACTCCTAAAGTTGACACCTAGGACAAAGTGCTGCTCTGAGGCTCAGGCTGGGGAGGGATCCCTGCAGGAAGCTTTAGGAGCTGGAGTGTGAGCTGCCCAAGGCTCCTCCCCTACACCAAGGCCACCTGGGGCCAGTCCTTGGCACTGTCCCATCTCATCTCAGAGCCATGAGGTGACCAAAGCAGGTGTGCCGAGGGTCAGGACGTGCCATTGTCCAGACAGTCCAGAACTGTGGCTGCTGGGCTGTGGCAAACAATGTCCTGCCTTCCTCAAAGGGGTCCGTGAAAACCAAAGGTTCCACTTTCCTCAGGAGAAACCAGTCCTGATGACTTCATGTAACTGTCTTAAAACCCCCATCACAGGGGCTTGGGTGGTCACCCTGGACTTAGAATTGAGGGCATCAGTTCCCAACCTTCCTGATGCTGCAACCCTTTAATACAGTGCCTTTTATTGTGGTTACCCGCAGTCATAAAATTATTTCATTGCTACTTCATAACTGCAATTTTGCTACTTTTATGAATCATAATGTAAATATTTTTGGAAATAGAGGTCATGACCCACAGGCTGAAAGCCACTGGTCTAGAAGTATGTTGGAAGTCAGAGCCTTACAGAATCTTGGCCGTGAATGTCCCCACCACGCCTCACAGGTCTGGGCCTAGCACTCCTGAACAAGGGTTACCTGGAGAGGGCAGGGTACTTTGGAAGTGCTCACCTAAATGCTGGAGCAGCAATGGGAAGCTGGGTGATGAGTAGAGAGAGTTTTACTCTGCCCTCAGGCTGGGCTCAAGCTTACCATTCTCCTGCTCCCACCCCTGAGAGGCTAGGTTGCAGCATGTTTAGCAGAACAATTTCTTATTTTTATTTGAGCTATTTTTTTGTACCTTAGGGTGGATTTGAACTCACTATCCAGCTGAAGATGACTTCAAACTTCTGGCCCTCCATTTCCCTAGTGTTGGGATCACAGCCCTGCACAACCACTCCTAGCTCCATGCGGCTCTGGAGACGGACCTATGGATTTGGGTGCGCCACTGACAGCCACACCCTCAGCCCAGTGGGACTTTCAGGGCATCTGAACATGTCCCTCTGAGACCCAGTCTGTATCTCCTAGGGCTCTATGACACTTCAGCGTCCTGTGGAAGGTGAGGCTCCTGCATGCAGAGGCTGTGTCACTGCTTAGGTGAGTTTACACGTCTTTGTCTTTACTGTTCTCCCGACTCCACTATCTGAGCAGCCACGCCTGGAGTTCTCCTCCATCCTTGGTACAGGAGACGGCGGAGAAAAAGAGCCACAGATGGCTCCCGAGGCCATGACCCTCTTCCATGACCCTCTTTCTACCTTTGTGTGGGCTGAGAGTTCCCAGAAGCACGGACGTGAAGTCAGGCTGTCCCTGTCAAGCAGCGTGGGCTCTTTCAGACATAGTTATAGCTAGTAGCAACTTCTATATTTGAATGTAGAATTCTAGGAGGCATTCCACAGTAATAATGCCATTTTGACTCTGATGAGCAAAAATTTGGCTTCAGAATTAAATAATGCAAAATAAGTTCATTTTTTATAAAGTGAAATACGATCTCTTTAGTTTCTAGAGAAGGCATCTTTTAAAATTAAAATTAAAATAATGTTTATGTTCCTGAATTCTTCAGTAGTGATTATTTTACCCCCCCCCACATCCTCTCCAGGGAAGCCCACACTGGTCTCTGTGATCCTGGCTGTGGTGTGCCTCCAGATGATGGCATGCGCACACTGGGATCTGTCACTGAGGTCAAATGCCCCTTCCCTCCTGAGAGTGCTAGGCTGTCTTGTAGGGGCTGCAGCTTGCTAATATGGTAGATAGCAGGCAGGAGGATGCTACTTTAGGGTACAGAGTATGGGCACACTCCCAGCAGGTCAAAACCTGTTTTGAGCACTAGAAGCCCTTAAAAGATACTGTTGGTTTTTTTTCCTTCTTTTTTTTTTTTTTTAAATTTAAATTAGGAACAAGCTTTGCTTCATATGTCAATCCCAGCTTCTTTTCCCTTCCCTCCTCTCCCGCCCCTTCCAACTCTCCCAACCCCCCACCCAAGCCCCCCACTTTGCTCTCTAGGGAAAGTGAGACCCTCCATGGGAGATCTCCAGTGTCTGTCATTTTATCCAGGGCAGGGCCTAGGCCCTCCCCCATGTGTTCAGGCTGAGACAGCATCCCTCCATGTGGAATGGGCTCCCAAAGTCCATTTGTATGCCAGGGATAAATACTGATCTACTACCAGAGACCCCATAGACTGCCAAGGCCTCCTCACTGACACCCAAATTTAGGGGATCTGTATAAGTCTTATGCTGGCCTCTCAGCCATCAGTCTGGGGTCCATGAGCTCCCTTTGTTCAGGTCAGCTGTTTTTGTGGGTTTCACCAGCCCGGTCTTGACCCCTTTGCTCATCACTCCTCCCTCTCTGCAAATGGAGTTAAGTTCACTGTTTAGCTGTGGGTGTCTGTCTCTGCTTCCATCAGTCACTGGATGAAGGCTCTAGGATGGCATATAAGGTAGCCCCTCCACTATTGCTTAGTTTGCCAGTCGGTGTTATCCTTGTAGATCTCTGGAAATCTCAATAGTGCCAGATATCTCCTCAAACCTATAATGACTCCCTCTATTATGGTATCTCTCATCCTGTTCTCCTCTGTTCTTCCCCTGACTCAGTCTTCCTGCTCCCCCATGTAAAAGACACTGTTTAACAGCAAGGTTGTGTCTGCAACACTGAACTTACAGTAGTGAAATTCAGTATCGGGCACCAGGATTATAGTGTTAAATAATTCAAGCACAGTACCTGTAAGGGCAAACACATCAACGTTCTGAAAGATAAGTGCAGATAGCTGAGTCCTGACTTGCCATGCCCAATACACTCCAGGCTCAACCTGATAGAGGCATCCTCAGTGCGAGTCTCAAGCTGTGCAGCTTGCAAGTGTGGCCATGGTCAGGAGGCTATTTTGCATCTCCAAGAGCAAAGAATAAACCACCAGATACCTTTGTGTAAGAGAACTGCGATGAAGAAATGGAACTGCCTATAAACTTTGAACATAAACCAGAGACTTAATGTACACATGAAGTTTTGGGCTGACCTGGAACTCACTTTGTAGACCAGGCTGGCCTTAAACTCAGAGATCTGCTTTCCTCTGCCTTTTGAGTGTTGGAATCAAAAGTGTGCACCACCGGCCGGGCGTTGGTGGCGCACGCCTTTAATCCCAGCACTCGGGAGGCAGAGGCGGGCGGATCTCTGTGAGTTCGAGGCCAGCCTGGTCTACAAGAGCTAGTTCCAGGACAGCCTCCAAAGCCACAGAGAAACCCTGTCTCGAAAAACCAAAAAAGTGTGCACCACCACTGCCCAGCTTAGAGATAATTGTTTAAAGATCTAAGCTGGAGGGACCCACACTGTAGAAAGGGAGAACCAATTCCCTGTCCTCTGATCTCCCTAAGTGCTGTGGCATGGAGACATGGACACGCGCCCCCCCAACAACATAAGGATCCACCTTAAACTACTGGGTGTCCAGGGCAGTGGTGAGTGACAGGAACGAGCTTCCCTGAGAAGCAGCAGTAGGGAAGCCCCTCCTCTAGCCATTCTCCACCTTTCTTCCTTCCCTTCTTGTTTCCTGTTTTCCTCTTACTTGGCTACCTTTGGCCTCAAACCATAGTGTATAACAAATACATACTGTAATAATTGTCTAATTTTCTATCAAACACTAATTTTATTTATTTAAAACAATTTTTTTCTTGGTTTTTCGAGACAGGGTTTCTCTGTGTAGCCTTGCAGACCAGGCTGGTCTCAAACTCACAGAGATCCACCTGCCTCTGTCTCCCTGGTGCTGGGATTAAAGGTGTGCGCCCCCACTGCCTGACCAAAACAACGATTTATTTAAACGATATTTAATTTTCATTGAACAATAAAACCTGCACTTTTCCATTAGGCCAGTGGCTGACACTGGCAGACAGGGTGGACTGTCCATTGAGGGCGGGCATCTCTGCAGTGGGCCACACGTAAGGAAGGAAGGGAGCTGGGCTGGGAAGCTCATGGTGGAGCCAGGTTAAGAAATGAGTGGGGATGAGTCTCCCTTGGAGGAGCCAAGTCAGCCTGGATGGAACAAGCCTGGCTGCCCCAGGCTGGGGACGCTCAACACTGACATTAAGCTGGAATTCCTGAGCAGGAGAACCGTATAATTTACCGAATCTAAAACCCAGAATGCACTCTGGTATTCACAGTGCTGCTTCAACAGAGCTGAAACAGCAGCAGCTGCATCGAGCGAGACAATTTCAATGGGCTAAGAAGGCAGAACTAGACGCACAGGACACATCTCTAGTCAGAGAGCAGGCACCAGTGAGCAGGCCATCAGCTGCATGTGTGGCTGCTTCAAGAGCCCTGCTCAGCCTTTAGACAGCACCAGGGCAGGACTAAACTGGGAATAAACAATGACTGGAATGATAAAGCCACAGGTCCTGGTCCCTTTCCACCTAGCAAGTGACACCCGAGGACAACTCCCCAGTATGGTGGGGTCAGTTAAGGGTTGAACACCAGGCAGGGTGATATTTTCTCTATGGTCCTTGCAACTTTTTTGCATGCTTAAAATTTTATGAAAAAGTTCTAAAAATTTTTATTCATAATGACTTGTAGTTTGCTCCAGTTATGAGAGCTGAACATCTAACTTCAACAATTAGACTGGGGAAAGGTTAGGTCATATCTCCATAGTTATTAAAAAGGAATGGGAGGAAGCCAAATCCCCAAAGATGATTATGCTTGTCCATCTGAACAATGAGAACAAGAGAATCCAAAACAGAGGATATCACTACAGGGAGGTCATGGAAAACAGAGAGTAAACCACTACAGACCATACAGACAGGGAGGTCATGGAAAACAGAGAGTAAACCACTACAGACCATACAGACAGGGAGGTCATGGAGAACAGAGAGTAAACCACTACAGACCATACAGACAGGGAGGTCATGGAAAACAGAGAGGAAATCACTATAGACCATACAGACAGGGAGGTCATGGAAAACAGAGGAAATCACTACAGACCATACAGACAGGGAGGTCATGGAAAACAGAGGAAATCACTACAGACCATACAGACAGGGAGGTCATGGAGAACAACTGCAGCATTGACACCCAAGTTAAAATGAAAGTAAAGTTCAGGGCCTATGATGAAGCTCTAAATTCAAAATGCTTGTTTAAAGTCTGTTCTTCCTTTCTCTCCCTCTCTCAATCAGTCAGTCAGTCAGTCAATCAATCAAATTTTTGGTTTTTCAACACAGGATTTATCTGTAAAGCCCTGGCTGTCCCAGAACTCCCTCTGTAGACCAGGCTGGCCTTGAACTCAGAGATCTGCCTGCCTCCGGAAGGCTGAGATTAAAGGCGTGCACAACCACCGCTGGCTTCTATTTATTTTTTAAGCTACAATACAGGCTTGAATGTACCTGGAGATCCTTGTTTGAATATTCATGGCGGGAGCAGAAATGTGAGAGCTTCAGTGACAATCTCTCATGCACATACCTTGTAAGCAATGCTGTTGAGGACTTTCATGGCCAAATCAGAAACATCTGGATAGGGATCAGCAGCTAGATGCAGTAAGACTCTCCAAATTTGAGTGTAAACACTATTGAAAGAAACTCCTAGGAAAGAGAAACAGGAGATATCTAGTGGCAAGTAGCCAATGGTGCATAGACAGGCCTGTGAGCTGGCTTATTTTCTATATACCCCACGCTGTCAGAAGGGAGCATTAGAGCTGGGGTAACAGGAGCTTTCCCCATTTGCAGTTCTGTGTGATGACTAAGCAGGAAAGGGGACACTTCTGAGTTCAACTCCCAGAGCCCACATGGTGGAATGGAGAACTGACTCCCTCTACATGTATACCACGGTACACACGTGTACACACACACATGTACACACACACACACAAGTTAAAAAGGCTTCATTACAAAGGTTTCATCTTTTGTTGCTTTTCCCTTTTTTTTTTTTTTTTAAAAACAGGGTCTCACTATGTATCTTGGCTGGCCTGGGATTCACTATGTAGGTTAGCCTGGCTTTGAATTTACAGACAGCCACCGGCCTCTGTTTTCCATGTGATGGGATTAAAGGCAGGATACCACCACTGCCTGGCCGAGGTTGGGTCTTTCTAAAGGAAATGACTAAAAAGTCAGGGTTTGCACCTGGATAACTTTGTTGGATGGAGAATACTACCCAGTTCCCACGCTCATTTCCTCTCAGGCTCTAGATTCCTAGATGACACATGGCTTACAGTACAACTTAAACTCCACAGTTCAAACCAGTAGGCTAGATTTACAACTAAATCTAAGAATGTCAGGTCTGGTTTCCAGCTCTGTGGGATGGGGTTCCCAGGTATCCGCTGTGTCTCTGCCTTTTTTAGGGTGGCTCTGGGGGCACTCTCCAGACAGACCCCCCACTGATGACATTCAAGAAGAAGATATTGGGGCTGGAGAGATGGCTCAGAGGTTAAGAGCACTGGTTGCTCTTCCAGAGGTCCTGAGTTCAATTCCCAGCCACATGGTGGCTCACAGACATCTGTAATGAGATCTGGTGCCCTCTTCTGGCATGCAGGTGTACATGCAGATAGAACACTGTGTGCATAATAAATAAACCTATAAAAAAGAAGTCATGTGTTTTGCAAGAAGCTTCACCTGAGGGACAGGGATCTGACTGACTGCAAGTGCTCACAGAGAGACGACTCTAGCACTTTCAGGGTTCCTCCAGGGGAGTGACACATCGGAGGAAGCAGCTCCCTGCAAAGCTCGGTTGCCATGTGACACTGAGCTGGAAAGGGATCCTGATCCAGGAAGAGGATGGGAAGAAGGGACCCTGAGCACATCTGTCAACTTAATGATGGAACATGCAGACACAGCTGGAGCTCCTCGATTGAACCAGGTAGGTAGGGCACAGGTGGGGTCCCGGAGCCCCTGGCCTCATGTGCTGGGGTGACAGATGCAGACTCCCGTGAGGAGTTATCTAGAACCAGTTAACCCCACAGAAGACTGCCAGAAAGGAGGAATGGTGTGAGGACACTGAGGAAGGGACCCATTTGTAGATCTTACTGTTTAACCAACTTTAGGTTACTGGGTTGACTCTGTACCTTGACTTCCACATAGCATTGCTCAGGACACAACAGAGAACACAAACAACCTAAGTTTTACCACTGACTGATTGCTCTTAGTGGAAAGCAGAGCTGTGATCACAAATTGCCTCTTGATCCCATGCCTTGTCTTGGGTTGCCAGGAGTAACTTTTCTAGCTCCCTGCGAAACGGACTGCCCCACTCCAACATCTGCTATCTCCACAACACAGCCTGCCACTCACACAGGGCTCAGGGCCCGTGGGGACTGAGGTAAGGACAGCGGGTCCTGTCTCAGGCAGAGCAGGAGCTGGGTGTGCCCGACAGCTTGCCACTAGCTGAGCCCTGGAAGGGCCAAGGATCTATTTTGATGTCTAGACTAGAAGCAATAAAACGTGATGTTTTAGGATTGATTTTCAGGGTAATGGCCACAACTTTCCAAAAGTATACGATGAAGGGTGGTCTCTCAGAGCTCTGCAGCTGTCTGAACCTCAGCGCTTGCTGGTGAGAGGGACTCCACAGGGCACGCGGCTGCAGTACTGACTGGGGCAGAGTGAGGTCAGGTCCTTATGATCTGGGAGTGACCAAGATTTCTGACGGTCTTTAGAAACACAGGTCCAAGGCTAGAGTGGTGGTGATGGTGTGTGTGGTGTGTGCCCGTGCTCCTGTCGGTGTCCTGTATCTGTCCTTTCTTGTGCTCCCTTCCCTGATGCCAGTGACATCTTCCTGATGCACCCTCTGGGGTAGCTATGCTGACCCACTGCTCTGGCTTCCCCCTTCCCTGTGGCTGTAACTGAGCCTCACCATCTTTGTATGACCCATGAAGCTTTGGATTTAACCAAGGATTTTCTGGAAAGAAGAATTAAGTCCATTGGTTGCTGGATCTCCACTCACCTCCCTTGGCCACTTCATCCCACGGTGCTGGGCACCAGAGCAGGGCCTGTGAGCTAGGCGAGCGCTCCACTGAGCTTCCGCCTCAGCACTTCACTTTCTTTGTGCTTCCGGAAGAACAGGGGTGGCTGATGGCTGGCCGTCACTTTAGTGTTGACTGACCAGTGCTCACAGGGGACTGAGGGTCTTCAGGGGAAGAGACAGCTCGCTCTTGGCTGCTGTTTTTCCAGCGTAGGCTCCAGAGCTGCTGGCTCCCGCTGGAGCACACACAAGAGCAGGGCTCCGGCAGCACCGAGGGTGAGGGCAGCTACGTGTTTCTGCTGTTCCACTCAGTGTCAGCTCTACCTTGGATTGGTTACCATGGTGATGCTTTTTCAACATGATATAAAATGTCACTGCTCAGCAGAGTTGTAAAAACCCTGGTCTTGTCCTTTGAGGCTCCCAGTCTCTTTGAAGTGAGACCATACCCCTTCCTCTCAAGTCTCCACACAGAAATTCTCTTGGCACCAGGCTCTGATGAAGGTGCAGGTACCCATGGGCCATTAGCCCCCTCCTCAGCCTCTGTGCTGACCTACTCCCATGGGTAGGCATTAAGGACACAGGGAACCAGGAAGGCTAGGACAGGCAAGGCTGCTCACTGTATTCACTTCAGCAAGACAACCCGAGGGCCAGCAAGACTGCTCAGTCAGTACAAAGGGCTTCGGGCGTAAGCCTGAGTAGCTGAGTTCAAGCCCAGAATCCATGGAAAAGTGGAAGGAAAGATGCCCTCCGACCTCCACATGTGTGCCATGGCATGTAGATACCTACCAACACATATACACATTAATAATAATAATAATAATAATAATAATAATAATAATAATAATAATAATAATAGTAATTTTAAAGGAAAAAGTAGCTCTTCAGAAATTTGGTAGTAAAAATAGCAGCCATGTGTCTTGATGCAGCTGGGCCAGAGAAACAACAGACCCTTTGTCAAGAAGGGCAATCTCTGAGCTCTGAGGAAGGAATGCAGAAGAGCATCAGGTCTCACAGGGGTTAGAGTTAGCTTGGGGAGCACACTGTAGAGCTATCCAGCTGAGATCCTCATTGAGGAGAGGTGTGAGCAGCTCCAGGATGGACTTCAAGAACTTGCCATGGTTCACAGACAGGTGCACAGGACAGTGCTGAGATCAAAGGCACAGGCCTGGCATAGGGAAAGAGAGGCCCGAGAAAGGAAGGGGTGATCAGGGGATCCATGAGGTCATCAGGCCATGACTGACGTGAGTGGAGAACCGTGCTCCCTCTGCCCCAGGTCCTGTGGTGTCAGGAGGTCACCATAGGGAGCACTCTGATGAGGCAGAGCTGGGAAGGGAGCAGGAGAGGGAATCTGGAAGGGAGCTGCTTCTGTGAGAACAGGTGTAAATGTATGCTCTAGGTTGCCATGGTTTTGAAAACCTCTTTTGCAATATTCAGAGAAAGGGGCTAAAGAGATTGTTGTTCTTTGGTTGAAATGAAAGAAGAAATTGCCTTTAAACAGGCAAGTGTTGCCAGTAATGGGTTTCTGCAAGTTATGAATCTTAAACACTATGTAAGCTCTGAGGTCTCCACGCTGAAGGCTAGCAGGAAGGAAGGCCACTGTTTTTTTTTCCTCCCAAACTCTATTCACTTTGAAACTTTCCCCCTCAAATTTTGTATTTTCTTTTATGTGTATGGTTATCATGCCTGCATGTATATCTGTGTACCATGGATGTACCTGGTACCTGCAAAGGCCAGAAGAGGGTATTAGATCTCCTGGAACTGGAGACAGTTAAAAAACACTATGTGGGTGCTGGGAATCAAACCCAGGTCCTCTGCAAGGCAGCCAGTGCTCTTAACTGCTGAGGCATGTTTCTAGCTGCACCCCCAAGCAATGTTCCAAGAGTTGAATAACATACAGATAAAACTTGTTTTCTACACACACACACACACACACACACACACACACACACAAGCGCGCGCGCGCTACATAGATACCAGCTTCTGAGAGGGTAGGTAGGGAGGGTGAAGCAGACACATCTGGGTTCCGCTATAGGCGCTGTTCTGCACTATCTTCTGTGACCCCCCCAATAAAATATCATTCCTTAACCCTTCCATCTCCAGAATAAAAACTGAAGGCATAGCTGGCATTCATGTATCAGAGCAATAGGCAGGCTGAGCTGCCCCTGTGACAAGGCCGGGTTACACAGGGTCTCACCAAGATGAACCACCAGAAGTGTGGTTTGCTTAGGGCTTACAATTCAATTCCCTAGTCTGTTTTCTTGCTGTGCACAGGGCCACAGCAAGAAAACTCAGTAGCTAATTTTCATTTCCTCTGTGACATCAGGCAATTCCAAGGATTACCACTCATGGCAGAATACGAGAGAACTCTGGCCATCAAACCCCAATTTCTAGGCACTGAAGGGTCAAGCTGCTAGGCATGGTAAAGTTTCTGCAGGTGGGCACTGAGGGCCCTTCAGGGTGAGTGACCTCCCTCTGTTTACTGTGGGGTTCCCCTGGGCACTAGGGGCAGTGAACAGCGGCCTTGGCTTTGCCCACCAGAAACCTGGTGCCCTCCCGCTTCATCCTTTGTTTCGGTAAGCAGGATGTCTTAGCTGAGAGCCACCGCTCCACACTGCGAGGGTCTAGCATACGGGAAGGATACAAAGAAAGACAGATGGATTTGTCTGGCAGCCTTCCTGCCCGACAAAGCTAGCAAGCTCACATCTCCCTGGACCAGCATGTAAAATGCCACCCTATCGCAAAATGCTCTTCTCACATCTTCAAGCTCCGGTTAATTCTATTCTTTTGCATCCCATGGAGATGTCTGGCTCATGTATCTGACCAAATAAAGATGTGTGCTGTTTTGGGGTAGAGCAAACCCTTGGCATGGGAAGGATGAGGACGGGGACTCACCTATGAGGGAGTTGAGTGCTGAGTAGGAGCTCACACGCCGCATCTTGTCGATGGTCTCAAAGGACAGGATGTACTCCTCGTTCTCAGGGCTTCCCAAGGTGCTGCTGGCGCTACTGCTGGTGCTGAGGTTCCCAGGGGAGAAGGCCACCGAGCTGCCCGCTGGTCAGAATATGACAGGCAGGAGGTCAGGCCCTTACAGTGAATGGCCTGTCTGACTGAAATGTGAGCTTTCTTCGCATGACCACACTAATGGCCGTGTGTGCACCAACTGGTGGACCCTTCCCTGGAAGACATCCTGACTGAAGGAGGTCTACGGTGTGACCCTGACAGATCTGGGTGCTGAACCAGGTCTCTGCTATGTCTGGAAGGAAGATTCTGATTCAGGGACGGCTGGCCAGTTGTCATGCTGGCACATAGGACATGAGGGCCCACGTTATGCTGGGTAGGGTCAAAGGGTACAGTAGCATTTTAGAGAAATGTCTTGGAAAGAGCACACTGAACCTCTCCACCCCAGATAATGGTATCTGGCATCTTACATTCTTCCGTCAAGCTCAGATTCTGCAAGGATTTGTTCAGGTTCCTAGCTGTGGTGACTGCTCGGATGTTCCCATAGGAGCTCACTGAACGGAGTCTGGGGGTGCACGGGCTGTCTCGAACAGGGGTTAAGCTCCCCCCCTCTAGGAAAGATGGAGAAAGGAAAGAGTTAGCAATGGGTTTCAGATGGGGGCATGAAGCCATGGCAACAATGGGGACAGCTGGTGTTACTGGGACAAGAGTGAGTTTAGAAGGGCCTTCATGTCACTCATCTGAAGTGAGTGTGGGGTTCAGTAGACAAAGAGATTACTTGTAGGCCCGTGAATATTAGATTACAAGATAGCAAGGACCAGAAGGGCAATAGTAGCTCTGAGGCTATTCCAGGTATTTGGTGGCATAGGCAGTAACACAGTGATGCCCAGCAACCTGGCACCGGCAGGACCCCCAGCCTGCTGGCAACTGGCCCTCCTCCTTACTGGCTGTTTCTGCCCAGCAAACTCAGCTTCATCTCCTTCCCAACTGATGGAAAGGGGGACTGTTTTGCTACTGATCACGAGTCTCTGCTGTGGTCTGGAGGGAGGGGCCATCGTGGAAGATGGCTATATTCTCCAGCAAAAAAGGACAAATGTGAGACGAGGCGCTTCCTCACATGACTCACAGAAACATGAAGCCAACAGCAATGTGATTCAATTACTCATCACAGGAAGACAACTAATGTTCTTTTCAGCTTGTCCCACTGCAGAAGTTGCAATCCTTCAAGATGTCCCCAAATTCAAATTCCAAGAAAGGTAAGAAGGAAGGGGAAGAGACAGGGTCAGCGAGGCCCCGTTCCTGCACGTGCGTTCCTCTGAAGGCCTGCGACAACACGGCTGTCCAAAGCAGTATACAAAGGCGCGCTCAGACCCAGCTTCCCTGTGTGCTGCTGTACCTGTGGCTGCGGGAGAAGGCAAGGGGTAGTTCTTTTCCTCTTCCATGAACTGCAGGGCCACAGTGCAGAAATTGCTCTCATATTGGACTACGAGGTGACTCAGGGCCACCACCAACTCCTGTTGAGAGGGAGAAGGGACAATGGTTTATGGAGGCAGGAAATGCAGGCCCGCAAGCTAATGTCTAAGGTGATTCTAGGAAACAGGGGGTCAGAGCAAGGCTCACTCGGCATCACAACCCAGGAAAGGTGAGTCCACAGGAAGCCTGGGGCTGTGAAGGCAGTCGAAAGGTGTCCTCAGATGCCAGGCACACTTGCCTCAGTCTGTTCTCCCACTGCTAGGCAGGAATTATCAACCCACCCAAGGCTTTCTGAAGCCACCCGGTAGAGTCCACACCCCCGGAGCATTTTAAAATTAGGCCTGTGACCCTGGCCAGCCTTTCTGAAGCCATTCCAAGCCGGTGGGGACAGGAAGTCCCTTGGTGACTCAGTCCCCACCACAAGGCAGGGTCCAGCCCTGTGACATGCTCCAGGACTGCCAGCCACCCTCTGAAGCAGCTGTCATCCCAATCTGGCTTGTCTGCACGCTCAGACTGTGTAGATGGGCTGTCATCAACCTCTGCACCCAAAGCCCAGGAAAGGGAGTGCTTGCAAGCCAAGCTCAGGAATGGATAAACACATGCAGACAGGAATACTTCCTTTCCCATGCTCCCCACCTGGGAACACCGGCTAACTCCTGTGACACTCTCAGAGCCTGACACTGTACTATCTAGGAGACGGGACCATATGCACCATTGCAGACCAATGAGCACCATACAGTCCTCAATGAACTTTCTAGAATCAAGGGCTGAGCTCCTCGAAGGACTATCAAGGGAGCAGAAGCAGAAGCAGATACAGTGGGGCCCCAGGACACATCCCAGTGGGTGTGAGAACCACCCTTCTCCCGACACCAGGTCTCCTGATATCTCAGTCATCACCCTTTCCATTTGCAAACTATTTTTGAAAAGGAGAAAGCTTTCTACACATTGAAAATCATCTTAATAGACAATTAAAAACACTGGCCCTTTGCTTTTGTGAGCTGTGTCCACTTGGGAGAACTGAAGGGGAAGGACTGGGGAAGGAAGGTGGAAGGAGAAGGCCCAGGAATGCTGTTGACCAGAAGGATGGGAAAGCAACGGAACCAATGACAAGAGACCACAAAACTCCAACACACTCCTTTTTTTTTAAAACAACAAAACAAAACAAAACAAAAAAACCCCACAGGGTCTCACTATGTGTAGTCTTGGCTGGCCTGGAACTCACTATGTAGCCTACTCTGGCCTCAAATGAGATCTGAGTGCCTATGCTCCCCATGTGCTGGGATTAGGGGGGTGTGCCATGGTGCCTGAAGACTCACTAAGAAGATGGAGCATGGGGGTGACAGCTTCAGAAGGGCCCAGAGATGAGTGCACCCAACATTTGCTGGTAAAGCAGTGTTCAGATCGGGTTACTTTCAAGTTAGCCTTGCGTTTCTATCTACTCTCTAGAAATGTAACCCAAAACCATGCCCGACCTCCCATGGGTCTATCACCAAGGGAACCAACACCGGCTGCTCTTCCAGAGGACCCAGGCTCAATTCCTAGCACCCACATGACAGTTCACAGCTGTCTGTAACTCCAGCTCCAGGGATCCCAACACCCTCACACAGACACACATGCAGGCAAAATGCCAATGCATATACAATAAGAAGAAAAAAACTCATTACTGTCCATCTCACATATGTCTCTGCTCTATGAGCAACTTCCAGAATCACCAGGTTCAGCAGGAAACCAGAGCATTTCCCTTGTTGACTGGGGGTAGGGATGCAGGGCATCTTTTTATGGAGCAGAGAAGTAAGACTGCTGTAGAGAAGAAGGACAAAGGGGCAGACCTGTCACTGCTCTCTAGGGACCTAGTGCTGTGTGCCTGTGCCCAGGTAGACAGAAGGCCAGCAGCCCTGGGCAGCCCTGTGCCCTCACGCGAACAGACACGGGCAGCCAAGGCACACCCAGAAGAGAAGAGCTGGCACACAGACTTTCAGATCAAGTAGCGCACACGGGAAGCGAGGCCCTCTGGGCTGGCTCTGTTTGTAGGCCCCTGCTTCAGCTACGGAGCTGGCACCCACATACCTTCCGGACCATGGGGCTCCCATCATTGATGAGCTGTGCCAACATCATGGCCACGTTGTGGTCGATGGTGGTTGAGTGGTCAGTTCTCTCAGCAGAGTTTCCCACAAAGGTGCCAAGGGCAAACACAGCTGCACATCGGACCTGCAGGCAGGAGACAGGCAGGTGGAGACACACCCACGGCTGGAGTGTCTGTCATCTGCATTTCTGCTGAGCCTGTCTGCAAGCTAATTCAATTCAGCTCACATAAGCTCAGCTCAATTCAATTTCACAAACACTTACTTACTGCACGATGCTCCAGGCTCAGAGCTACACTGGTATTGACAAGCAGACAGTGTGTGTGGGTAGCCCAGGAGCCAAAGGCAGAGGCAGCATAGTCCCAGCTCAGGGATGACCAGGCTGTGGAGGAGGGAACAGTTCCTTCTGGGGTCTGCAGACTGCCTTGTACAGTGAGTGAGTGGACTTTTGATTACAAAGTTGAAGCAGAAAAGGGTACTCTGGAGAAGACTGGCCCAGAGCTGATCTGGGGGAAGGTAGGCTGGGCTGAGCCACGGAAGGGAGGCTGTGGCAATTGGAGAAGATGTGGACTAACTGGAAACCAGAAAGGGTAAAGTTCCCACAGTACAGAGACAGTGTGGGAAACAACATGGGGCTGGCTATGGTACCCAGGGACCTCAGCTCAGCTCAGCCCCCAAGTGACCTTGGGGAAAGCTGGCCCTGGAGAGCCAGTGTCCTCCTCTCTATGATGGGCAACATGAAACATCCTACACAGGGCTGGAGGAGACCAGCTCAACATCGTGCAGCAACCCTAGACGCCCCAGGAGAGAAATGCGGCTGTGGAACCGTCAGTGGTGAGAAAACAGGGAGTGAGCATGGTCAGAAGCCTGCCACAGGCCACTGTGCAGACAACACACACCTGTGCTCTCAACGAGAGGCCAGGTCAAAAACACAGGCCATGGGAGGCAGCATGCTACAGGCTTCAGCAACCCAGCGAAAAGAAGCAGAGGCTCAGGCTCTGTGATCAGCAGGAAGCAAGCCGGAGGGACACCCCCAGCCCCGAAGAGCCCGCCTCGCTGCCCTCTCTGCATCTTTTTAGCTAGAAACCAAGGTCCTCACAAGTCCTCGCTGTCTTCAGGGCCCCACAGTTCCAAGCAATACTTCTGATGCCACAGCAGGCTGCTGTGGGGGTGTCTTCTCCTTCAGCAGAGTGAGGCCCCTTGCAAGGTCCACACTCTATTTGTGTTGCTGGTCTAGTCACATCAGAGATATGAATGGGCACAGCCTACGCATCAAAGAGTCTCAGGTTACCCTGTGGGATGGCCCACGGCCACTGTGGTCTCCCTGATGTGTGACGAAAGTGAGTAGGCCGCCATGACCTCACAGCTGCACGCTGGAAGGCTCATGGTGCAGACCCCTGTCTGGTTTCCCACCCGCTGAATGTGAAGCCTTGCTCAGACTGATAAAACCTGGGTGTGCCCCAGCCTGTTCTGAAGGCAGCAGACACAATGGGCTTAACCCGCTCTCCTGAGCTGGGGACATCCTAAACAGGGCTCCTCTCATGCTTTGGGGCTGCACTAGCTCTTCCCATCTCAGATGCAGCTTCCCATGCTGAGGGGCGCAGTACCATTTTTACTGTTTGTGTGTGAGTCTACAGGTGACCCAGCTGACTCCAGGCTGGGAACAGCTGTGCTCCCCTGACTGCCTCTTGACTGTCCCAGACACTGGTGACCGGGGTCTGGGGAGGCTCAGAACAACTTGTGGCTACCTCTGTAAGCTCCATGGCCTGCCTGCCTCTGCTGGCCTTGACCCTCCTCATCCTAACTTTTCTGCTCCTCACTTTCTCCAAATCATATTCTCTGAGTGGTATTTTTTTGGCCTGTTGTCTTTAACCCTTTTGAGAACTTGGAAAATTAGTAAATACACTTCCTCGAGCGCCCTTTCAGAAAGCTTGAACATGGGCAGTGGGATGAGTGGCCGGGAGCAACATTGGCACCTGGCTGCCAGGTTCAAACCCCAGCCTCGGGTGTAGAGTCATCTGCTGGTGCCAGGGCTTACAGGCTCTAAGCTGACTCACCAGGCAAGGAGGTAGGCGGGTGTTTCCTGGGGCTAGAGAGTCCCACCTCTCCCTCCAGGTTGCCAGAACACACTGGACACTGGAAATGGCCTCAGGCTTCAGGGAAAAGGCAATGCCCAACACCTTCTCTAGCCTGCACCAAACCACAAAGCCTTCGGCCCTGACTGGTGTGTTTGTCTGTGTCTCTCTGTCTGTCTGTCGAGTGATAACCTGGCCCTGGTCCACAGGATGAACAGTACAGAATGGGTGAAGTTTGTTTCTTAGACCTAGCTGACGCTGTACCAGCTTGTAGCTACCCCGTTGCATACAGCACTGGTTTAGCATGAGTGAAAAGTCAAATGTGTGACTTTGTGGCAAGGTTCCAATAGCCTATCTTGTGATCTGTGCATGGCCCTGCAGACTCTGGGTGCAGTTATGTTTGAGTATGGGCAAGCTTCTGCACTCTGGTCCTACACGACTTCTTTACAAACAGAACCCTAGCGGAACCTACCATACTCTCACCCAACTAGGAAGCTACTTTCCCAAGGACAGCTCACCTCAGGGATGGGGTCAGACAGGAGGCTGTAGAGCTTCTCGTGGGCGCTGTCTCTCACCCCACACCATCTCGCAGAGTCGAAATTCTGCCAGATCCTTCCCAGGCAAATGGCCACCCACTGGCGCAGCAAGGGGTGTGGGTCACTGAGCTGTTCCAGGCAGATGGCAATCAGGTTCCCCTGTAGGCAGGCTTCCTGGACACAGGAGACAGATAAGTGGTCCTCTGCCCTTGTACCCAGGGCCAGGGCAGCTCGACTAGGCTGACAACTGCCTTGCTCAACCACAGTATACTACACTGTCCTGCCTATGCAGATGTGCCCTGCAAAGGTGAGCTAAGGAAGGGCGGGCTCTCTGGGGAGAGCACCCCAACCCCGCCTACTGCTAGGATCTGAGGGCGGGCTCTCTGGGGAGAGCACTGATAGGACCTGAAGGCTCCCTCTGCAGATGTGGCATCCGCTGCACCCCTGTCCTAGAGTACATTTGAGACAAGTCACTTTTCTGCGTTCCTGGGGCTTCAGTGGCCAGAGAGGCCATGATACACACTTACTTGCCCTGTAGTGTAGCTGTTGACGATTACAGCAAGAATGAAGGCTGTCATGGTCCTATGTTCGGCCTGAAAAACAAAACACACCATGACTGTGCACCTTCACAGCAGACTTCCCGTCTCAAAGTACTGTGCACCTTCTGTCTTCAGCCCTCGCCTGATGTGATGAGAGCAGTGGGCAGTGGTCTTTGGGCTGAGGCATTCCTAAAGGTCTGCACGCATAGACTGCCTTCTCCTTTGGATGCTAAAGCCACGGAACACGCCCAGGTTGTTCCGCTGTCTTCTCTCAAGGCAGATAAAGTGGTTGGTGGTACTAAAGGCCCAACATCATGCTTTCCTCTGTGCCGTCCCCAGGTAGCCTGTGCCCTGGAGTCAAGCACACTGGTATAAATTGAATGCAGCACTCTTTTTGTTTGTTTTTTTTTTTTTTTGAGACAGGGTTTCTGGTGTTCTGGAACTCAATTTGTAGACCAGGCTGGCCTTGAACTCACAGAGACGTGCCTGCCTCTGCTTCTTGATTAAAGTATGCCACCAGGCCTGGCTGAATGTAGCAGTCTTTGCTTCAGTTCTGGTCTTCTACTGAACAGATGAATTTTCATTTGAATTTCCCTTTCTGAAAACCAACAGCCCATTACGACTTCTTCAAGTGTCTCACCTACCCACATGCACACTGAGAGTCTTCCCCTGTGATCCTCTGGGATAGCTCCAAGTTCTTCACCCCAACATCCCTTCTTACCTCTATCCCTTCCAATTATTAATTATCTATCTTTACATCATCGGCATCTTGGTGATTGTCCTTGCATTTTGCTGCTTTCCTATGGCACTGTCCACGGAGTTCATTGTCACTATCTTCCAGGTGTTAGAGGTGCCAAGCTATCATTCTTTGTCATAAAATGCCTGCACTTCTTCCTTCTGTATAGCAGTATAACTCAGCAGGGAGCTCTATCTGGCAATTGCCCGAGGGCCACACGCCATTCTTTGCCCATCATTGCTATGAGCCATCACCGCAGCTGCTATCCGCCCTTCCTGGGTTCTGGTTGCTTTGGGGATTTCCTTTATGCTTCTGGTACTTGCTACTTTGATTGTGCTGTGTCTGTGTGAATTTATTTTTACTTAATTGTTCCAGGGCTCACTGTGCATTTCTCTCTTCAGTTCTCCAAGTTCCAGCCACGTTTAGACGCTGTACTCCCTGCCTCCCCTGCAGTGTTCTGGAACGATGTCAACAACAGTGGCCACCCTCACCCATACCCCCATTTCATGACTTTGTTTTCTCCTCAGGCGGTGCCTTCACCGATTCTCTTCCTGGCTGTGTCTGCCCTATGAGTCATCACCTCTGCTGTTTTCTTGGGAAGGGGGGCTTCCTCTTCTTCCACTGTGCTCCCCCAAGGTCTGTCTGCTTCTTTAAAGATAGGTAAAAATAGACTTTGCTTTCTCGCAGGAGCAGAAAGCTGTTTCTGAAAACTACTGTATATCCTATTCAGCTGCCCAATTTTTTAAACAATTTACTATAATAAAAGGTCTGTGTGAAATTCAAACTTTCAAACAATCTCTCCCTTCTTCAGAAAAGCATGTCAGCACCTTGTCCTGGTAAGGGACCTACAGGGCACCCGAGGCACCAGACTGTAGACACACAAGTCTGTCCAGAGCGCAGGTTCTAGGTGATGGAGATGCCTCTGCTGACCATGGAAGACCAGATTCTCACTTGAGGCAGGAGGAAACGGTGTGGGCACTGAGCTGCCGTTCATGTGTAGGGCACCTCTCTACCTGGCCCTCAGAGACAAATGGCAACACCTAGTGTGTGAGCAGAGAGAGACAACCCCATGCTGTCGAGGGAGAAGCGAGGCTCAGTCCTTACTGGCATGTATGGGTCTGCCAAGACGGAAAGGAAGTACTTGTGACCGTTGTCCTTCACGAGGTCAGCCTGGCACGACTGGAAGGGAAAAGGAGACAGAAGAAAGGCCGTGAGTTCGGGGACCCGTGGATGTGCCATGGCTTCTTGTGAAGCAGGGCACGCAAACATGCCGAGATACTTCTTATGAAGCAGGGGCACGCAAACATGCCGGGAATACTTCACTGTCATGCATCTTCCCTTGCAAGTCCAGTTTTCACTGGGAAAGGGCTCTGGTTGCTGCCCTTGGGGGAAAGGCTGGATTGCCACATTCTCAGAAGAAAAGCAAACCACCGCTCTAAGAAGCAGCTCCAGTGGCCGGTCTAGGGACTGTGATCTCTGCCCATGCCCGCCCTCCCTTCTGTACTCAGACCAGACTCCTTCCTCTTAGGCTTCCCACTTCTGTCCAGGTTCGTCAGCCTGGCAGAAATGAGATATTCTGGCATTTATTTCTTTATTTTTATGTATCTGAGTATTTTGCTTGCACGATTGATTTTATGTATGTATGAATGTGCGGCACATGTAGTGGAGACACCTACTTGGTGTTTGCTGAGATCCTTTCCCTCGGCGCCCCCCCTCCCCCACAGGGCTTCTCTGTGTAACAGTCCTGGCTGTCCTGGAGCCCACAGAGCGCTGCCTGCAGTGTGCACCGCCACCGCCCAGCTGTGGGTTCCCTTCCCTAGACACCCCTCCCCTCCTCTCAGACATTCCCTTCCTCTCAGCTCCCCTCCTCTTGCCTTCCACACGAGGATACTCAACAGTGCTCTTGCTTCTGTAGCGCTGGTGCCTGCTGAAGCTTTTGGGGATTTAGTCTGGATTCACGCCACACAACATTTTAATGGGAGTCTCCTAGAGACCCCCATTCCTAAGCAAAGAGAGCACCCCAAGTACTCGAGGACTAAGTGCTAAAGAAGTCGCCAAACATGCAGCCCTTTCTAACTCAGCTGGTCCCTTCCAGTGAACACAACTCCATCTGTGTGGTCATCATGTGCTGCACACCGGAGGCCCCACCCATGCAGAACGGTTCTGTTCTAGTCAGTCAAGCCCCGCTGAGGAAAGACAACACAGTGGACAGCTTTGATATACAATGACATGTGATGGCAACACCTGGGAAGTCACAGGGAGCAGGGGGAGGAGGGCATGCTTTCTGGAGGACAATAAAGCAGAATTAAGAAGGAGAAAGGGAGTGAGAAATTTAGGGAGGAAGAGGCAGGTGACCAGGTGCTAGGAGGCACTGAAGAGCCAGCAGAAGCTGACCAGGAGGGGATAGCACAGTCAGCTGTCAGCAACACTGCTAATATTGATAACCTAACAGAATTATACAGGACACAAACATCTGCTCAGGTCTTCAAGGAGTCTATAATTGGCCAGTTGAGGCAGGAAGACACTCCCCTAATGTATGTGGCGCCATTCCATGGGCTGGGGTCCTGGGTTACATAAAAAGGAAGCAAGGTGAGCTGTGACATTCACCCTGCTCTGCTCCAAGACAGCTGCCTCGGCCTCAAGCTCCGGCTGCCGAGACTACCTAACCACGACAGGCAGTGCCTTTGATCCTGGGCCCAGATGAATCCTTCCTCCTCTAAGTCATCTCTGTCTTACGGACGGACACGGAAGGGCGGGGCCCCCACAGTTGGGCGTTGCACTGGAGATGGGACAGGCAGGAGCACTCGGGAAGACAAGCACAGGGGCCTGGAGCAGGGCCAGAGCTGAGGTCACGAGCGCACAGGTGGCCAAGGGCCCCCCAAGGTGAGCAAGCAGGGGAGCCAGAGGCCTTGTTGTCCACGGCATGGGACCTGGTCTCCATGGGAACTGTGAAGGGCATGGCCTCACTCTGATGCTGGTCCTACTTCCCACCAGACTGGTTGACTGGAGGAATTATTTGAAAGTTCTGGGTGTTCATGGTAACGTGATCCCACCTCGGGCATTCATGAGTTGAGGATGATGTGTGGGAAATGCCGGAGGAAGGAAGGGTAGACGGGACGGCTTACGGCCGGGTGCTCCATCCCTTCCGCGCTTGAATGATGCAAGACAAAATAGCGCCAAGAGCCACGTGACCCATGAATGAAGGGTACTGTCATCTGCAGAGAGGGAAGTACCTCCTTCTCATTAGCTCCAGAAAGCTCTGCTGTAGGCGCAAGAAACTCAGGGTGAGAGTGCGGGATGTCACACTCTGCTTTAGGACTCTCCTAACTTCCCAGAGTAGCCCTGGTCCTGAGCCCTTCTTACACGGGCTCTGTGGGCGCTCGGTAAGAACACTCTGCACCACCCCTCCCTTTGTCAGGGGTCCAGGGGAATTAATTCCTCTTGGTGGTGTGGTGATGGTGGTGGGTGAGTTCGTCAGGTGGACACTGGCTTGGCTCTGCAAGGTGCAATTAGACAAGATGGAGGCGGTCGGCTTTGCCCCAGCTTCTGCTCATCAAGTCACACACACTTCACAGACTTCCCGACTTTGACCGAGGCGACTACCAAACAAGCTAGAAGCCTTGACTGCTATCCTTATAAAGACCTGGCTGGCCCTCAGGGCAGGAGCCCGCCCATGCATGCACGCATGCAACAGCAGCAGCAGCAGCAGCGCAGTTCAGGGAGCAAAGACACCTTTCTTTGTTTTCAAATCAGAGCTCTGACAAGTCAAATCAAAGCCCACACGTTTACAGGAAACTCCTTAAGCACAGCTCATCTGAGAGTATTAAACTGTCATTAATTCATATCCTACTAATTCTGACTGCGAGCTTCCAAGTCAGGAGATCTGAAAGGATCACTTTAATAAGCCTTCAAAAGAGGAGTCTGGCGATTATGAGGCATATATTAAAAGATTTCTGTTTTGATAAGCTTGTCACGCCACTGCAGAGCGGCAGTAATGGCTGCTCTTCACACGTCTGCTTCCATCACCAGCATGCACAGGTGTCTTGTGCGTGTTGGCTTCCACTGCATGGAGGGTGCCCCTCCCCCAGCAGCTCCACCTGCTAAGGGCGAGGTGCAATTCCCTTAACCTGCTTTCTCTTCATGAGTCCTAGGCCAGCAGCCTCACTGAGCTGGAAAGAAAGCAAGGCCACACCTAGCAGGGCAGGAAAGCCAGTGACAGCTCACCCTCTGAGGAGGGTGTCGGGCTCTCATCGTGCTGCACTCTGGAAGCCAAGACTGCTCACATTAGAACAGTGAGGACACATTAAGGCTAGAGTAAGAACGGGGAAAGCAGGAAAATGAGCTTTTCTTGGCGGACCGCCTCTGACACCGTGGAGCTCACTCCAACCCCTGTACATCCATGTCTCAAGGCTTCAGGAAACAGAGCAAAGGAAGGTGGGGAGAGAGCAGCTACAGCTGCAGTTTACAAAGAGCACTGCTAAGGGAGCAAGTCCCAGATCAGCTGTGCCAGCGAGTTTCTCTTCTCCAGAATGTTCTGCTAAAGGATACCCTGGGGTAGAGAGTCCTGAGTTGGCTCTTCTTACTTCAGAAGACCACAGAGTAGAGCAAGAGAACTTAAATAACATTGCCATGTCTGACAGGAAGTGTGGGACAGCACAGAGCGACCCATGAGAGAGTCCGTCTGTGAAGCCCAGCCCTGTGCCGTCCAGTGTGAGCACAGGGAACGCTAGGGTGAATGCAGTTTCTTCCTGGTCACGAGAAACAGGCATATGACATCTGGAAGGGAAGATGTTTCCAGCAAGAGAAAACTGCAGCTGTGTGCGGCCTTGGTGGGTGACTAGCACACACGAGTAGAGTAAGCTGCAGGTGATCTGGAGACAGGAGGAAAGGAGGGGCCCAGCAGCAGCAGGAGGAGGAAATGAGGTGCTGAACCCTGAACCACCAGAACCTGGGGATGGAGGTGCACAGTGGGGATTTCACTAGTCTTCAGGCTGCAGCAGGACATCAAGCAGGAGGCCTGAGCCATGCAGTTCCTACAGTTGAAACCCCAGCACAGCTGCTTTCCCCAGGCTCTGTGACGTGTGCTGTCACTTTCCAAATGTGCTTATTAAATATTGAAAAACCCGCTAGCTCTACTGTTAGACGCACCCGTGTGTAGGGTGACCTCGACGGGAGAAGGGACCGTGATGCTGTGCCCAGTGTGGGTGTGAAGGGCACGCACCGTGCCCCTCCCTCTACACTTCTGCATTTACACCCCATCACAAAATCCACCAGGATTGAAAACCAAATTTCCATGGAGAGACATAGCCACTGAAGGCTCCCCTGCCACACTGGGTGCCCAGTCTTCTGTTTCTCAATGCATTTTCATTACTGACACACAAGCAAATATGACTACACACTTAGCTAATTCCCTAACCCTGAAGGCCTGAAGGGCCAAGATGTCTGGGTCTTTTTTTCTTTATAAAATTTTATTGCTACATGATGCAGGGCAGACAAGGAAAATTATGGAGCTTTGGGAAGGAAAAAGGGTGCTGCCTGAGCCTCTGCTGGTAGGGGGCCAAGAACTCAGCATGGTTCGCAGCATCTGCTGTTCTGGTTGTCACACAAGGCAATATCCCTGTTACAGAGACATTGGTAGGAATGTTAAAATAGCAACAGGACCTGCTGAAGGTTAAACATCAATGGACTTCTTCCTTCCTAGTTGGAAACCCCCAGTGTTCTAGAGCCTCATGAGAAACCCCACTTTCAAGCAAAGCTCCATCTTAACCCCCTGCAACCTTGTGACCTTGTCAGAGCACAACCCTATCCAGGGCACCTCTGGAGTGAACATCTCACTTATCAAAAGTGAAAACAGGGGGCTGGAGAGATGGCTCAGAGGTTAAGAGCACTGACGGCTCTTCCAGGGGTCCTGAGTTCAATTCCCAGCAACCACATGAGGGCTCACAACCACCTACAATTCAATCTGGTGCCCTCTTCCGGCATGTAGGCAGAACATTGCATATGCCATAAATAAATCTTTTTTAAAAAAAGTGAAAACAAAGACGCAGAGGCTTCTTAGCAACCCTTTGAGGTGTAACTTGGCTACTGTTAAGACACACAGACAGGATTCTGAGAAGCCCTAAACATATTCTCGGGTGTGTCTTATTAATTCCCTGAGTGCCTTTCTTCCCACTAAACTG